GCCTGGATCAGGTCAGTGCATATTTCTTGACCTTTAGGAATAATAACAAACAAGGGAAATTTATCTCCTCACATATGGATATGTGGGTTTTTTGAACCATCAAAAAAATGACATGTTTCCCACCTTTCTTCAGTTCTACCCTTTTCTCTATGTCTTCTATGTCATCTTGAAAAAAAACTTTATTTCACATATTGTAGCTGTGTGTTTGTGTGTGTGTGTTTATCACCATTTTATGCCCAAAGCTCAATTTTTTTAACCTGAAATATGTAAGAATCCTGGGTCTGAAAAAAAAGGTAATTTTGCTAAATCTTTTCTATATAATTTTTAGATATGGCATAAGGCATGTTTTCACTGTGAAGTTTGCAAGATGATGCTATCGGTTAATAACTTTGTGAGTCACCAGAAAAAGCCATACTGTCATGCGTAAGTGTTTGGTGCCCTTCCCCACCACCCTTTGAGTATACTTTATTTTTTAACAAGTAGCCAACAGAGGTTCAAATCATACACTTCAGAGTTAAGTCCAATAAATCTCTTCTCAAAAGTCTTCACTTACATACAACCACTGAAGAGCTCTAAGGAGAGATTTTATGCAATGGCAGAAAGTTGAAAAATTTTTAATTTCTGATAAATAAGAAATAAATTTGTTCACTATAACCTCACATAAAATTATTAAATATTGTGCAGAATAGTGTAATGGCCATGGATATGCACATGGAGCTTTAAAATGTTTTTTTAAAAAATAATTTCAGAATACTTTTCTATTTTTTAGAAAGTTTCAAGTGATTACTTCCAGTTAAATTTTGTCTTTAAGGAATATATATTGAATTTATTTGATTTACTTTTTTATTCTTTAAGACTTACTGCCTAGGAAACATGAACATAATTATTATTTTATACTTAATGATTTAAAAAATGACTGTACCTTTAAAAATAGTCACTCAATCATCTTGGATAAAGTATATTTCTAATTTTTGGTTTATATCTATTTTTGTAGTCATAACCCCAAGAACAACAGTTTCACAAGTGTCTATCACACTCCATTAAATCTAAATATGAGGAAGCAACCAGAAGCCATCCATGGGGTAAGTTACTTAATTTTGAATTTCCAAACAGCCTTTAATGAAAATTTCTTAGTTCATATACCTATTAGGTTTTTAAGCTCTGTGACTAGATGTGAACTTGACCATTTTTTCTACATATACAAGTGCAAAGTGCATTTTCATAAAAAATACTATTTTTCCTACCACAATAGAGGGGTCAATACCCAGGATAATCTAGCTTGGATAGCTAAGGTCCTTATATCCAGTGTAATCTCTCTGTGTCTGCCACCTCTGGACAAATAGAAGACAGTTTATACAATAGGTCCTGTATACACTAGGTACTTAATACATGAAACAAAGTTTATATAGTTGGAAAATATTATAAGGGCTTTCCTTTCTTTCTCTCATAATAATTTTCATATAGAAAATTAAAAACCTCTACTTCCACACTTAAATAGCTCTGAATTCAGTAGTGTTTAAGATTATTTGCAGCCTCTCTTTCCACTTGGGGTAGGGGTAGGTCAAAAATATTTTGATTCTGAAGTGATGTTTGGGTAGACAAGGAGGCCACGTTGATAAACCAGCCTCTTGAAAAATCAACAGTGGAGTTTTATCAGATAACAAGCTATTCATTGGACACTTGCATTTATTAAAATGGTGAATCATTTAGCCTCTCTTCCCCATGCCCCACAAGAAGTTATTCTGTGGGAGGGAGCTAGAAGCTTTCTAAAATTAGAAAATTACACATGAGGCGAAAGGCTGTCTGTGATCTGCCTTCCTAATGTCACCTCACCTCATACTGACTCTCCTGCCTGCCCAAGCCACGGTCCTCCTCGAAAACGTGTGTCAGATTGAGTTTATCCTTATCATGGGGCTCTCTGCACCTACTGTCAACTAGCTTTATTCACTAAGTGTTTGCACTCATTTTGAGGTTTATTTTTAACACGCTTATATAACATTTACTGTCCAATTGCTTGAATTCATTTAATACACACTGCAAGCCAATAAACTAGGTACTATTATTATCCCATTATACTGGTGAGGAGCTTGAGGCACAGGGAGTTGCTCATATATCATTGATTTCTAAGAAATCACAAGCCTTAAGAATTTAAAGCAATAAAGCAATCCTAGATTACTGAGAAGGCTAATTCTTCTAGGATTCTCTCTTCATCTCTTGGTGTCTAAGGGCAGCTACATGAAATTACAATAAATACTGGCTTTAGCTCTTACATAAATAGAGTGCCAAATACTCTGCTAGACACTATATGATCTCATTTACTCTTTACAAGAATCCTCTCTAATACTGTCATATTGCAGCTGGGAAGGCTGAGGCTCAGAGAGGTTAAATAACTTGCACAGTTTTACCCAGCTAGCATCTGGCTTTAGAACCCATATCTGGAACTGCTCCATTGGCCTATTTCCATGTACCTGGAGGGTGGCAAACTCTCCAGAAGGAAAAAAGGACTTGTTTATGTTTGCAAATGTTCAGATGCTTCTGCAGTTATATAGCCAGAGTTTGACAGATTAAACACAAGAGTTACATATCAGAGTGCTGTTTGTGATACATTATACTTTCTATGAAAAGATCTATAATATCTATCCTGCCAGATGCTAGCTCAGCTGGCATGTCCTTACCTTACAATCATGCAACAGGTCGCATAATATTGCCTTTCTTTGAACTGGTGGTGGATTCACTTTCTTTTAACTGCATGTGACAGGCCCAACCTACAGTGAGGTTACTGGTGGCTCTGTTTCAAACCACAGATGCTGAAGTGAATTTCCCAGAAGGCCTGTGTGTGTATATTTACTTACATCTATGTGACTATGTGTGTATGTGTATAACTATAAATATGTGCATATGGGGAGTGTATGTTTGTGTATATGTGCATGTGAATATGTGTGCACATGTATACCTACATGTATATGAGGTGTGTATGCATATTTGTGTGTACATGCATGTGTGTATACATCTATGTAGAAATGTCTGTGTATGCATGTGTGGCATGCATATGTATGAATATGTGCATGCATATGTCTCTGTGTGTATATGTGTGATTATGGTATGTGTACACACACATATATGGGTGTCGTGTATGTGTGTGTACCAAACAATTGACTGGTGAGATCACTTCCTCCTATTTTCCCACCAGAGAAAAATTCAGATGGACAACTGTGTTCCTTCTAGACCCAGATCTTATAAGTGGCCTAGGGAGTGTGATGGATTACTTTCTTAATCCCCTGCATCTCTGAGAGACTTTGCTAGTTGAATAAAAAACAAATTCATTGTGCGTGTGCTAAAATAAAGAGGAAAGAAAGGGCTGCTTCGGTGATGGCAGTGAAGGAGAAAAGTAAAGATTGTGAGTTGGCATTTGAAGCAGGCTGACATTTTTCTGTTTCCTAAATGTTATCCTTTTAAAAATAAATAAATATTTACAAGGACAAAATTTCCTGTTTGGTAGGTGTGAATGGAATTTTTAGGAGAGCAAAGCCTCTAGGTTCTCTTCTCTTCAGAGAATGAACTTTAGCCCTGAATGCTTCCTTACCCCACTGGTAACATTTCTGGCTTTTTTTCTTTTTCCTGCTTCCTCAAAAAAATCATGAATCTCACGAAAGGTCTCAGGAGATGTGATTCTGATTCCAGAAGTCAGTGGCTCTCAGGGAGGGCAGTTTTACCCCCTAGGGGACATTCTGTGGTGTATAGGGAATTTTTTCATTGTTATAATAATAACGAGTGAGGAGGGGTACTGTTGGTGGATGGAGACCAGCCACGCTGCTAAGTGCCCTGCCATGCAAAGACAGTCCCCCACAATGAAGGATGGAAGGCCCCCCCGTGTCAGTAGGGCTGAGCCAACAAGAAACCCTGCCTTAAGTCTATATAATGTTCATGGTAGTTTCTCAGAATCCAGGGGAAAAAGCATGTACAGTTTTCTCGATTTATGTATTAAAAAATGTACATATGGGAGCTGCATTAAGCAGTAGCAAGCCTAGAAAGCCAGTGACAAAAGGTACCCCTGATAGGGAACAAGAATTCCTGATTCTGAACCTGGCTCGGATAATCCACTGAATGATTTTAGTAAGTTCACTTCTTTTCTCTGAGTTTCTTTCTTCATTTGTAAAATTAATGATTTGAGCTCCAGCTTGTTAAAATTGCATATTTCTGGGCCCTACCTTAGATCTCATAAATTATGATATGTGGGTTTGGACCTAAGACTTTCTGATTTTTTTCTTTTATGGTTAGTCCTTTTTATGTTCTTTTTAAGAAAGCTTTGCTTATTCCAAGGTTATGAAGATATTGTTGAGATGTCAGTTTTCCCAAAATTGATCTATGCATTCAATTCAACCTCTGTTAAAATCCTGGTGTTTTTCATGGAAATTGACCACCTGATTCTAAAACTAATTTGAACATAAGAAATACGTTGAAGAACAACCAAGAAATCTTGAAGAACAAAATTGAAGGAGTTAGATTACAAGATTTCAAGACTTACTACAAGAATAGTAATAATTAACTCAGCATAGTATTGGCATACAAATAGACAAATAGAGCAGTGGAATATGATACAAGGTCCAGAAATAGAGGTGTACATATTTGGTCATTTGAATCTTGATGGTACACTGCACTTCAGTGTGGCAAGAATGATCTTTCAATAAATAGTACTGGAGTGATTTGATACTTACATGGAAATAATGAACCTTGACACCTACTTCACATTATGCACCAAAATTAACTCAAGGTGAATTATAGATCAAGATGTTAAAGGTAAAATTATAAATCATAGGAGAGCACCTCTACTCTAATACCTGCTGTTTCTGAGGTTACTCTAACCTGAATACTTGGTGTTGTGTGATAAGCTCACAGAGACTTTAAGTCTTTTTAATTGCACTGCTAACTAGAGCTTTGCACACAGCAGGTGCCCTGTGCATGCCACCTGGCTGGTGGAACAGATGAGGCCACAGTGAGATGACAGCACTGTGTGTGTTGTCATGCAGTTAGGATTCTTTGCAGTTGAGACTTAGGAACCACCTCCCCTCCAATTTCACTATATATTACTTTTTTTCTTTCTGTTCTCTGCTGGAAACATTACTGACAACATCTTCATTGTGCAGACTGGTGACCAAGACGATGGCGAGCGGTTTAAATCTGTTTTTCACTGGGATATGAAATCCAAGGATGGGGCAGCTGTACTGAATGGGCAACCCCTGGGGAATGAGGTGAGAGAATGGTTATGAATGAGCTTGGAAAAAGAGAAAAGAAAAATACGCTATACAAGTGGTACGTATTGTCATGATTACTTCTACAGGAGAGCAATTAGGCTTTCTGTTACCCAGTGTGCAATTCCAGGGTCTACAGAAGACCTCCATCAATGTTCCCCTAGCCTCACCTTAACCCATCTGCTCCAGTCCAAATTCACTGGCTTCTTCCTTCCAATCGCTTTGTTTCTGTCTCTGGGAACAGCCATCCAGGTGGAAACCAAGGTGCCCTTTCTTCTTCTGACCCTTCACTCAGCCCCACCCTTTCTCTCCATTTCACTCCCCCAGCTCTGACCCACTTCGTCTCCTGCGTGGACCTTTCGGAGGGCCCCCAAGGAGGCTTTTTCTCTTCTGCATTTGCCTCTCTGCAGCCTGTCATTGGTTACAAACAGCTTCTAGGACGTCCCTTGCTCTTAACACTACCTAAGAATTTATGGCCACTCTATTGACAGCCTCATCATGTTAAAATTGCTCAGCTATTAATTTTTAATTGTACACATAATACTTAAATTTTCTTACGAAAAAGTCCAAGCAGTTTAAAGGGTGGACCCCTTGTGTACCATCTCCATTTCCAGTTCCTCTATAGAGGCACCCATTGCTATCAATCTTATGGGCATCCTTTCAGACTTGCTCTGCTCATTAACAAATCCATATCTATGTAATTTATTTATTTTTTAGTACTTAACATTTGGATATGACTATTGGCACTTACTGAGGGACCTTTGATGAGGTCCATTTAACCATTCTTTTCTTTGGCTTTCTCACCTGTAAAGTGAACTCTAATAGTTCCTGATTCACAGAACTATTGTGAAGATTAAAAGAGTATATAAAAGTATAAAGATCTTTGAACCATGGTAGGCATAATAAATACCAGCTATTGTTTTTCATTGAAAATTATATTTGTATATTTCTAGTGAAATGTATAATTTTTTTCCATGAGATAACATGCATTGTTTCGCAACTTGTATTTTTCACTCAACAAATATCTTGGAGCTCTTTTTATGTCAGCATCCTTGTGAGCTGTTGTAGGTGGGTGCAGTTATCAAGAATGGATGGATCATGCTTTCCTGTTGATGGGCAGAGTTATTTCCATTTTTTAAAAAATTATGAAGTTGCAATGAACATCTTCCTGTCCAGAATGAGGCCCACTGTCTACAGATTGCTTTCTAAGAACTCTCCTATTTCTCATCAATGCAGTATTAGAGCACACAAACCTTTTCTAATCACTCATTATTTCATATGGGAGTTTTATCTCCCTAGATAGGCCATAAATGTCTTAAAAGAGGAACTTTGTCTTCCTTTTTATTTCCCAGCATTCATTGCCTAACACAGTATTAGCCACATAATAGGTAGTAGGTGTTTGCATGTTGTCTAATAATACTAATTAATCTCACATTGCCTGGCCACAGCAACTCCCCACTGCCCAGTGTTGGTGCAATAAAGAGCAAAGAAGTATTAAGTTACATTTGAAGCTCTTCTAGGATATAAGTGAAAATCAAAAAGTTCAATTATTTAGCATGTTAGGTTATTTTCTAGTTTGAAAAAAACGAACGTTCTGGTTAGCTGACACCTACCATAATATGCCAATAAGAATTTAAAGTATTTAGAATGTTTCTATGTTGCATTGACTGTATACATAGGCTTTCTGGGAGGCTAGTGTAGGTGGGGGGATCTTACCAAACAAATGTGTGGTGTGTGTGTTATTTGCATTTGTGTGTTTCATTTATAGAGAGCCTACTGGTCTGGTTATGGTGAAGGGAATGCTTGGTGCCCAGGGGCTCTACCAGACCCAGAAATCGTAAGGATGGTTGAGACCCGAAAGTCTCTTGGTGAGGTAAGGGCCCTAGAAATTACTTCAGCAATGAGTTTGAATGTTTCTTTATTTTAAGATTGTGGTAGACAGAATACTTGTCCCTCTCCCAAAAGGTTGCCGTGTCCTTATCCCTGGAACCTGTGTATATGTTACCAAAAGGAACTTGTAGGTGTGATTTAGTCAAGGATCCTGAGATGGGAAGATTATCCTGGATTGTTGGGGCGGGCACACTGTAATCACAAGAGTCTTTGTAAGGAGGGAGTCAGAAGAGTCAGAGTCAGAGAAAAGGCGATATGGCAACAGGAGCAGGGGTCCCAGCCGTTTGGAGCCGTAAACCAAGGAATACAGGTGGCCTCTAGAGCTAGAAAAGGCAAAGAACAGTGCCTTCTCTAGAGCTTCCAGAAGGACCTAGAACTGCTAGTCCATTTTAGCTTCCTGACTCCAGCACTGTAAGAGAGACCAACTCAGTAGAAAAGGCAGTTTTAGCCCAGACTGTGGAAATCTTTAAATGATTTGCACACAGTACCCTCTAGTTCTCTCCACACACCCAGGGCACCTGCCCTTTGAAGAAACAAATTTGGAAAATATTGTGTAACTTTTATTTTAGCAAATGGAAAGAAAACAAAACAAACATAAATGCTAAGATACTACATTTCATAGGAAAACTATTCATCAGAGATGCAAAATAAGCAGGAAAAGATGAACAGACATTACACTCCCAATGCTGTAGAACTAACTATCTGTGGTGGACTAGTCACAGAAAAGTCTCCTGCAGATTAATTGCTGCATTATTATGCAAGTCTTTGAGTCAAAGGGGTTATTCTCCCTTTGGGTCCCTTGGATTCTGATTTCACATAATTTGCTATAAGCATTGAAGGGGAATCCCTTGGACCTGGAAATACGATTTCTTTAGTGTTGAAGATATTATTCAAATCACCAGTTGAATAACATTTTCAGATTCATTCCAGATTGAAATATTTTCCAAGTACCTTAGAAACCTAGTTGCATTGGTTCTGATGACATTTGCTACTGCAGTTTTATTAGTTTTCATCTGATACCATATTGGTTCTCATGCTGACTTGGTTCTGACCAGCAGGACTACACAGAAGACTATGAGCAACAGAGGGGTAAAGGGAGCTTTCCAGCCATGATCACACCTGCTTATCAAAGGGCTAAGAAAGCCAACCAGCTGGCCAGCCAAGTGAGTGTCTTAGTGCTTATGCACCACAGATTATGCTAACTTTTGTCATTAAGGAACCTCTGGGATTCAGACAAAATCCGTAAGACAGTGCTTTTGGGCAGTGGGTACCATTCATGTGGCATTACAGAGAAAACTATGTTCTTATCTTTTCTGCATCAATTATCCCCTGTGCCTTGATTGGGCCACATCTATCAAATGGAGAGAAGACAATGGACCAATGGCTGGACCATACAATTTCTTGAGGTTGCTTTAGCATCAAGGACACAGATTTTTATTAAGTGGATGGCAGATGCTCCTGAAGAGTAGCATAGTCTGTCAGTTAGCAGCTCAGATTTTGGAGCCAGAATGCTGGGATTTGAATCCTGGCTCTGTCACTGACTAGCGATGTGACCATGAGCAGATTACTCAACCTCGCAGTTCCTCAGGAGCTCATTTATACAATGGGCAAAATAGCAGTCCTGCCTCGTGTGATTGTTACAGAGATGAAGTGAGTTGGTATTTGCTAATGTTTAGCTGTGTCTGGCACTCTTGGATGTAACCCATTAGCGTTGATGCTTTCTGCAGGGGAGCCCAGAACGTGAGCCTTAAGGACAAGTTTGTGTTGAGCGCAGCCCAGTGGTGTAGCTTCAGGACAGTTGCAAGGCGAGGTCCTCACAAAGGTGATGGGTATGGACTTGACTCTGTACTGTCTCCTCACCAGGTGGAATACAAGAGAGGGCATGATGAGCGCATCTCCAGGTTCTCCACAGTGGCAGATACACCTGAGCTGCTGCGGGCCAAGGCGGGGGGACAGCTTCAGAGTGATGTAAGAAATGATGGAGGCTGAGGCTCAGTGACTGTATTTATAACACCCCATTCTTTCCTTGCTTGGCAGTGGAGGGAGGGAGCATGTAGGCAGAATCTCAGTCCTGCATAGATGCCAAGAAGAACTTTCTACTGAGATGGGTCAGCTGGCACAGACCCTGTGAAAACTCTTCTTTAGAGAGAAAACTTTAGATGGTAATAAACCCCATGTATCTGATTAATCTAAAAAAATTCTCTCTTGTCATTACAAATTATAGAACATAACTTCTAAAGAATTTCTACCACTTGCCTTTTCTTAGCCCAGTTGCTGCATGGCAGAATAAGACCAAGAACTTAGTATATTGTTCTGCGTGGGAAGTTTAAGCACAAATCCAGGTGCTGCTTAATAAGTGGCTCCCATTTGCCTTGAGCTGAGAGGCCTCTATGTCTCTCAAACTTGGCTGGCTTCTCCTCAAGGGCAGTCAGTCCTCCTCTGCTCAGCCTCACCACCTGGCCCACACCAGGTGCTTCACGAGTATGTGTTGAACTCTGCATTGAGTGTCTCCATATGCCGGGCACTGTGCTGGGTGTTGAAAATAAAAAGGCAAATTTGATGCCCATGGTCCATCAAGCTAATCTCCCGTTACACTGATGTAAGAGCTGCCTCAGGGGATGTCCAGGATGGTATAGCGGCCCTTATAGGGCTTCACTCAGATTGCCTGGTAGACAGTGGAATTGTAGCATGTGATTCACATTTTTTTTTTCATTTTCCAGGTGAGATACACAGAGGACTATGAACAGCAGAGAGGGAAAGGCAGTTTTCCTGCTATGATCACCCCTGCCTACCAGATAGCCAAAAGAGCCAATGAGCTGGCAAGTGATGTAAGTGTCCGCGGCAAGTTGTCATGTTAGGGGAGGAGGCAGGAAGGTACCTGGGCCTGGCAAGTCCAAATCCTGTCTGCTTTTGCATGCCCCATGGATCCAGGAGGTGGCCTTCCTTCATAGTTGTCACTTTTACCAGGAAAATGATAGGGCACTTTCGTGTCTAAGACACACTGCCTGGACCTAAGCAGCAAAAGACATTTCATTTTACACTTCTGGCCTCTGTGCATAGGAGGCTAAATTCACCAGCCTTGTCTTTTCCCTTCAAATAGGTGAGGTACCATCAACAATATCAAAGAGAAATGAAGGGAATGGCTGGGCCAGCTGCTGGAGCTGTGGGCACATTGCCAAAGGAATGTGGGGACCCGTATGGCCAGGTATGTGATAAAATGATTCCCTGGGATAAAATGATGCCCTTTCCCATGACTGGCTCTCAGATTGCTAACTCACTAGCCTGTGACACAACCTGTGACCATCTAATCAGGGCTTGGGCTGTGGTTTATCTTTGCTTTATTTGTGAAAGGAGGATTTACCAAGCCAGAAAGTAATAGACAAACAGTTACACAGGGTGCAACTTGACCCACTTAGGAAAACAGATTCCAAGGACTTCTTATTTCCCTTTTTAAAATAAAAGACCTACATCACTATGGTGGGTTTGCCAAGTACAAATTGTTCTCACCTATTCGTTGAAGAATGGTCCCAAGGACTGAAACTAGCTACTTTTAGCTTATCACTGATAAGCATGAAAGGGATCAAAATGCATGTCATAAAAATGTTGAGCACTTTACTGAGGACTCATTTTCCTAGAAAATATATATCTGAACGAGATTGCTAGAGAAAGCATTTGCCAGAGAATGCAAACCTTTTTCCCAGTACCGCTTCTCAAATAAAGGTCGAGGTGACAATTGCAGGATAATGTTTATGTGCACATCCCTTTGTATTTTCTGGTACTAACTAAGGGCTGTAGGAGAGAAAGGGAACATTAGTTTTTCACAGTTTTAACTAAACAGTATTGGGAGGCCTAGTATGTGTAGTGGAAGAGTACATTCAATGGGTTTAGTTGATTTTTTAAATTGGACAATTGTTTGAATTTTTTGTCAGTGGGTAGATTCAACAACACACGACTTACTCAATATACATGATTTGTAAAAGGAAACAAAGAACTTATTTTTCTCCTTCATAAAAACAAGTTGCCTATATGGGGACACATGCATATGAGACTTAGGATGTGTGTAAAGATAGGCTGTGACCCCTCAGCAAATGTCCAAGCAAAAATGTCAAATTTTGAATATAAAAGCCTATTTTATTAAATTCTACAATAGGTTAATTAAATGGTTGCAGTGCTTTAAGCTCAATGAAATTTTGTTTTTTTATTGGTTTCAAGTTTTTTAAATGTTTAGAAGGCTCAGGACAACTTTAAAAAAATAAGTTTTAGAATATTTAGAAAATATTTGGTTTCTATATCCGGCAAAAAATACTTGTTCTAAATTTGATAGGACTGTCTGCCAATACTTATCACCCACACATATAGTTTCACGTGTGTATCTAGACATGTCTACACACATTGTGAAATGAAACTTCTTTCATTTCACCTTACTTACTTCTTGATTATTAGGACATTCTGGCTAAAGTTTCCAATCCTAATAATAACAAATGCAAGAATCAAAGTGGGTATAGTTTGATAGCACCACTAGCAGCTGTCAAAGGGATCAGTCTTGTGTGGCATTTCACTGTGATTTAGCAGGACTCTCCAGGCATGGGTAGGAGGGAGTGAGAGAAGCAAGCAGTCATATAAACTATAAATATCTGTAGTGCCTAAACTGCCAAATAATTCATTCTTCTTTTTAATGAGTAACTATTCTTTTAGGTTCATGGACTAAATCATGTGATCAGTTTATTATTTGTAACCAGTCTCCCAAAAATGTCTGTCTCCCAAAAATGGACTGTCTCCCAAAAATGTTTGCAAACATAACATAGATCCATATAAGCAGAGAAGTTAAATAAAGCTACAAACTCGCCCCAAACCATGGAGCAGAATGGATACAAGGGGATTAACAAAGAATTTGAAAGCCTCCATTGTTTTTTTTTAGCTTTGGCCCAAAACATAAGGGAGCCAAGCACTCAGGCTAAACAGTTGTCTTTATTGGATAAAAAGGAATCCTGGACATTCTGACCATGTCTCATCTAAGTGTGTGTGCCAGACTCCAAACCTGGTGCTGGCACAGGACAGGCCCTTGCCCTGGAGGGGGTGGAGGGAGACGGGGTCATAAGCCAGAGGAGATCATACAGGACAGGAGGGCTGTTCCAGATTTGTGGGAACACAGATAAGGAAGCAGCTGATTTCTGCCTGGGGCAGGTCTGGGAGCGAGGGAGGAGCTCTGCAGAGAGAAGGGAGCGTCTGATGGGGCCTTGAAGCCATCTGAGTGCCAGGGAAAACGTACAGTATACTCGGTACATGATGACAGTTCTGTGAGAGAGAAGGTTTTCCCGTGTGAGGGTGGGTGGCGGGTGTGGGGAGGAAGAAGGAAGAATTCAAGACTCGGATTACAAAACTTTGTCTGAAATATACATTTAGTCTCATTTCAGATCCTCTTCTGGCAATTCGAAATATTTTCCCACAAATTACAAAAATTCAAATAGTTATATAATACTTTCCTTCTTGGCAAACTACATCCATCCCCAGGGGAGCCCATATTTGGGATGTCAATGGGTCTCAATGCATAGATCTGCCAGTGGGCCTGAGAAAGCGAGTGTTTGAGATTTTTGGAAGACAGAGGGACTTCCCTGGTGTCAGCTAAGAAATGAGTTCTCTGTAACATGGGCCTCGGAGACGCAGAGAATGTCTTGATTCTTCTGGTGGAAACGATGGTGATGATAACGATAATAGTTACCATTTATTTAGTGCCGACTGTGTGCTTGGCACCAATATGGACAGGCTAATATGGGAACCAGCTCCAGGCAAGATCATTGCAAATCCCCCATGCATTCAGGGAGGTGAGCATTGCTGATTGACATTTTTGATTGGCCCAGCAGGGTTACTTGGAGGACTATGATGAACACAGAGGAAAGGGCAGCTTTCCTGCCATGATCACCCCAGCTTATCTGAATGCCAAGAAAGCCAACGAACTCGCTAGTGATGTAAGTACTGCATAAAGATGACCCTCAGAGCCACAGAGGCAGAGCAAAAATGGGACTGTGCCTACTGAGATCTGCACACTGATAAATTTATTAGAGCCGAGCCAAAGTAGAATGTTAGCCTTCAGTTTCTGTCCAAATTTATGACGTCTACTTCTTTTTCTTGGGCTGTTGGGCCGCATTTATCTGCTTCAGAGGAGACTGACGTGGCATAATTTGCTTTAGGTGAGTGGAAGCAAGTGCGAATGCTGACCCAGCCAGAGAAACCGGGGTTAGGCGAGTCTTTACAAAACAATCCGTCTAGAAATCAAGCACTTTAGAAGAAACAGCTGATTAAAATAAGTCATATGATTGTCAAACTGGGTGCAACCAAGTGGATAAAATTATTTTTATTTGCAGAATGTTGGCCAGCTGGCAATCTTGGAAAGATAGGCTATAATTAAACTTGGTAAAGTAACATGCACACTAACACGACAGCTTGAACTTGGGCTACAATCAGAAGCTGAGAAGTCAGTTTGCAGCCCCTTTGCCCTTTTCCTGTACTCTGTTACTGTGCAGCTATTGTAGCCATTTTCCCAGAAAACAGCACTTCTGCCCTAAGCGCGGAAGTGAAAGACACATTGCTTCCTTCACCCTATCATTAGCAGCCTGCATGGGAAATGATGTGACAACCAAGGGCAGACTGGGTTTGGGATTATACCTTTTGCTATGATTGTTTTGAGACCTTTCTTCATGCAGAAGTAGAGTATAAACTAAAAGAAATGTGAAAAGGGCCAGAAAAATTTTAATACAGAAGGGACCGAGTGGTGTGTGGATTTCATGGAGAAAAATGTCATAGGATTTTTTTCCTTCATAAAGTCCTATTAAGTAAATGGTGACATTAAATATGGAGTGATTTTGGAGTAATTTCTCTCACGGGGCATGCAAACAACAACTGTGGACCCCCTTTGTGTGTTTCTTTCAGATAAAATACAGGCAGGACTTCCACAAGATGAAAGGCCCCGCGCATTATCACTCCCTCCCAGCCCAAGACAACTTGGTTCTTAAGCGGGCTCAGAGCGTGAACAAGCTTGTGAGTGAGGTGCGTATGGGGGACAGGTGCACCCATGTGCTGACACCTCCTTTATCTCCTGGAGACAGTGGATGGGGCAGCCCCAGAACGAAAAGTTTCAGGGGGTGCCACAGAACTACACTGTGGGTTGCCAGCTCCCGAGGAATGAATATGCAGTACAAAGTAATTCATGAAACAGCCTAGAATCAAACAAATTCAATTTCTCTGATGGTTCAGAAGTTTCTTCCTGGATTCTCACAGGCCATAGATATTCAAAACTTCCAGGCCATAGATTTTGGTTGCCAGCACACTGCCTGAGCCAACCTTCCTAACAGTACCTCATTCTTAGAGAGCAGAAGTCAAAGGTCAGGAAGTGCTTCAAGCATCAGAGTGTGCCCTTGTCCTGTTACTGTAGTCGGGTTTCTGAGAAGCTGTGTGGACCCAATGAATCCCCCTTACCTCAGATTCTGAACTGACAGCCAGAGGGTGTGTCTGTCTGGCCTACCCAGTTGGTAAGATTTTAGAATCGTTAGTCATTTTTGGCAAGGAAATGGCCTAGCTCCTCAAGTCCTTTTCATGCACTAGCATGTTTTCACAGAAGCTTCTCTCGTTTGTGGTTCCTATCTGGACCCTAAAGGCATTTGAGTTGGCAACCTCTTGCAAACAGGAGATTTAAAGGCATTAATTCTTTATAAATAAATCAAATAAAAAGTATTCACATAACAAGCTGTCTGCAACTCAGACACAAATATGCAAAATAGCTGCAAATATTTTTTTTTCTCTGACCTCTAAAGATTTATCCTTTATCCAAAACTGTTACTTAACTTGAGGTTCCCTAATTTTGGGCTGCTCAGAGTCACCAGGAGTGACATTTTCCTGATCTCATCAGCAGCCTCACATACTTTGAAGGAGGAGGTGGGTACTGAGGCCTTGGAATCTGCATTTTAAAGACATATTCAGATGATTCTGATGTTCTAGGCCAGAGGTCAGCAAACTATGACCTGAGTACCAAATCCGGCCCACAGCCTGTTTCTGTAAATAAAGTTTTATTAGAACACAACAATGTCAAGTCTGTTTACATATAATCTATGGCTACTTTCATGCTACCAGGGCAGAGACCAGCAGGTGAGGTAGAGACTATGTGACCCACAAATCCTCAAATATTCACTCTCTGGTCATTTATAGAAGAAGTTTGCTGAACCTTGCTCTTGCCTCATAGAACATTATGTCTAGACGGGACCTTTGTAATCTTTAGGCCCTCAGTTTGCCATAGGCCTGGAAAAGTAGGGGTCCTGGTCTGGTTTAGGGAGACTTTTAGGGATGTTCAGGCTACCAGACCTCTAATAGTACTGCTAACACTCTAGCTTTTTTTAATGTGATATATATGAATATACAAAATATATGTGAATATAAAAAATATATATATGAATATAAAAACATATATTTACTTAGAATTCAACTGTATGTACAGTTTTGTATACTTTTTACACTTTCTGTCATATTGTGAGCACCATATGATTTTGCATACTTTAAAAGGCATATTCCCACCATATGTTTTGTAAGATGTGATAACAAATTGTATTTCCTTTTGTAAGCAGTGACAAGGGAACCTTCAATTTCTTTTTGCCCTTATGTTTATCCAGTAAGAGAAACTGGAGAGAGCCTCACCTCTATTAATAGTAATCAGCCTTTAGCCACCTTCTCCAATTACTTGGGACACTTGGCATCTATTTAATGACTATACCCTCACATCTTACATTTAGTTACCCAGGGGAGCTCAACAAGCCGGCCCATTAAAATTAGAAGATACTCTCTGTATCTCTGAGTGGTTTCATTGACTATACTCCTTTGTAACTTTTGTGGTTAAATTTTATTGAAGTATGTATACAGAGAGATGCACACCTCACAAGTGTGCAATAAGGATTTCTGTAAGTAGGCATATCTGCGTAACCAGCACCCAAGCTAAGAAGCAGAACATGACCACAAGTCCAGCTACCCCCCCGCAATCTCCAGACACTCTCCCCCAGGAGTGAACACCATCCTGATTTCTAAAACCAGTTTTGCCATCGTTTGAGCTGTATGAAATCTGACAGTATTTACTCTTGAAAGGGACTGTATCTTTTTAACTTTCAGAACCACAACTGATTATCAACTTATTTATTATGTGAAGAGAAAACATGTACTGTTAACTCACAGTAATACACACTGCCTGGTAGTTTTAAATCTTGGGTTTGAAAGTTTTCTAAAAATATCCCAGTGAAGTCCTGTGGCATTTCTTAGAGTGACATTGGCTTTGGTTCTCTTGTGTGTCTGGTGTTTTGGTTTCCAAGGTGGAGTATAAAAAGGATCTGGAAAGTAGTAAAGGTCACAGTATCAACTACTGTGAAACGCCTCAGTTCAGGAACGTGAGCAAGATCTCAAAATTCACCAGTGATGTGAGTTTTCAATGCCTAAGCATTTTGGGTGCTTTTCTATGAGCTTCTTTTCTAGGTCTACTGAGAGACAGTCTGTGTGAATGTATGTAAGTGTCTTGGAGAAGCATGGCCTCTTAGGCACAAATACTTAAGAGCTATGATTAAAATTGCCTGCCAGGACTGGTCCATGTAGTGTTAAATTCTGTCACATCCCCCACCACACATGTGACTTTGGGTCTTCGGGGTAGCACTTGCCTCTTGTGTTCCTTGTATATTGCAGTGTCTGGCTCCTGGGGGTGAAAGCTGGTGAGGGAGCCCAGCTGAGCATGCAGCATCCCCCCTCCATGCAACTTTGTGCTTCTTAGTTAATGCACAGTCTCATTTAGCCTGCACGGTTGCCCAAGAACCCGATGTTACTACCCCATCTTACAGATGAGCAGATGTATGCTAGAGTGGCACTTGCAAATTTGGAAATTCTCAGAGAAGTTCTGGGGATGGTTCCTTGAGAGCATCCAGGACCTATACTAGATTATGTGATTTTTATGTCTGATTAGCTGCACATAATAGTAGAATTTAAAATCATGAGGGACTTTATAAGGCTCAGTGAAGAATTTATTGTGCATAAATGTAGTGGTTAAGAGGACCAGCCTTGGAGCTGACAGAGCCAAGTGGCTGACCTTTGGCAGATTGTTTAAGCTCTCTGAGCCACTTTGGCCATCTGTAAAATGAAGATCATACTAATTCATTCCTCCTCATAGAATGCATGTGAAGATTAGCTGAGATAAGTAGAATCCTGTCTATTATATAGTAACAGTTTTCTTTAAATAGTCTGACTCCTTGGAAACTCAGTGGCCTCCCAGGTTGGTGTTTCAATGTAGCTTCATTAGAAGCTATCCAGATTTTCCTATTTCTGACTTCTTGTCTTCATGTTTTGATTTTTTCTTTATTTGATAAGCTGCATTTGGAACATTGCATCATTATTTCATATGGTTGTAGTAGTAACCCATCTGTAATGTAAAAATCACAGAATTTGGCAAAGCTCAGATTTTATTCTTCATATATTTAGAAATGGAGGTAGCAGCATGCACTGATTTCTGCCAGCCCCCAGCATGGAGTTTTGCACACAGTGCCTGTAAAACTCTGGTTTTTGCCTGGTTTTGGAAAAATCTGGTATATTTACTTACAGCAGAATATGTAAAAAAAAATCAGGTCTGTTTTGTGCTGTTTGTGTTCATCAGATCCTATGTTTGCTTGTGCGCCTGTCTCCAACTTCTTGTGCTTGAAAATTAACGTGTTTAAAAGAAAAGGTTCATATTTTATTCAGTGAAACATTGACTACTTAAGTAGGTTCTATTTCATTATTTATATTTCCAATTTAGTGCATTAAGATGAGTAGTTTATCTTCAGCAAATTGGGAAGAGAATGCTTTTTAAAAAATTTTTTGTTTCTATGTAGAATAAATATAAAGAAAACTACCAGAACCACATGCGAGGCCACTATGAAGGAGTTGGTATGGACAGACGGACTCTCCATGCTATGAAGGTTGGAAGTCTGGCAAGCAATGTGAGTCCTTTTATAAAGGGCCTGTAGGTCCTGGGGACCCGTGGGGTGGAGTGAGGTGGAGCATGAGAATTCAGTCAATTCTTTTTCAACCTTTCTTTTTAAAAATCAGTATTTTTTTGTGTAAAGACTGACCCATAATATTTTATAAATGTTAACCAGTATAACCAAGGCTAAGTAAAATCCTTAGCCTTTGAATTGACTTTATTTCTCTCAGCTTTCTCTGGCTGGAAGAATACTTAGATCTATTATAATTGATCCAGTATGAGAAAAACTTTCAGTGTCTGAGAGATAAAGTGAAATGGATGAGCATAATTCTTACTTGAAATTTCTCAAATGTCCAAAACATTTGTGATTTATTTGGAGTTGATAGGTTGACTAGTCCATTTATTCAAACAGTGGTCATTGAAGACCTTCTGAGGCCAGGCACTGGTCAGGGAAGAGGGACAACAAATAGATCAGGTCCCTGTTTTCCCTGTAACGTGTCATCTATTAATCTCTCGTTGGCTTTGTCAATTAAGTTTACAGATTTGCAAATGCCAAGTTGTAAATCTTGGAGGTAAAGGGAACTTAAAAGAAACTGACTTCATTATTAAAACATACAAATGTAAATTGGCCTCTGCTCAAGAATGTGAAATTTGACCTTTAGAAAAAAATTTTAAATACTCTGAAGGTTCTTGACTTTTCATTTATTTTCTGGGGGTTCGCCAAGAAGCTCTTTCATTGTATGCCCCTGTGCAAATGCTTCCTTTTAACAAAAACTGCAAGAAGTTCCATAATTAGTAAGAAAGGTAAAATAAACGTGCCACAGATGGAAGTTAACTAATGTTGGATTAATTAAGAAGAAGAATTCAAATTAATTAAAGGCAAAAGTGTGAACATAATTTTCCTTGGAGGTGATGCAACTGAATTAATTTTGTTTCTGGATGCTTTTAAAATATTTCTTGTGACATTCAAACAGGTCAAAAGAAAGTGGGGGCCAATTTCTCTCTTTTTGTTCTTTTCTTTGTGTTTCAGATCGCTTACAAGGCCGATTATAAACACGATATTGTTGACTACAACTACCCAGCCACTCTCACGCCTTCCTATCAAACAACAATGAAACTAGTTCCCTTGAAAGATGTAAGTCCTCTTGCAATGGCCCCTCCTGCTTCATTCCTTGTCACTTTCCTCCTGTGGAATGGGTCCCAGGCAGCAAGATGGAAAGAAACAGGATAGTTCATAGGAGATGGAAGGGATTGAGAAGGGGAAGCCCTTTTGTGCATGTTTGGAAATGCTTCGATTTTTCAGTGTAAGGTGGGGACACCTCTGGTTTTTGCCTTGAAAATAACCTGCAGTTTAATTTCTCCTCTTGGAATTTGGTAGACTGCTGGCTGCTGGGCACATTTAAAGTAACTGTTCCTTAATAGTGATGAACTTTTTCTTTTATTGTAAAATTTAGGAGTGTGGTATTTTTAGGGGCTGAAGGAAGTACAATGAAATGGTTGTAAGTTGAGAGGAAGTGGTAACGTCGACTTTTTTTTTCTCAGAAGCACTTGGGGAAGTACATGTAACCCTTAATTATTACAGCACTGATTTTATTTATAGTTTGACTTGTTCCCAATGAAATATGTATACTTAATTAGGTTTATTGTTTTCTAGTTATAAGAATTTTATTATGTATTATAGGAAATTTAAAAAATACAGAAAGTAAAAGGAAGATGATAAAAGTCATCTGCTATCTTGAAAAGTGCTTTAAAATTGAGTTGGTACCATGGTTATTTGTCAGCGAAGGTTATCTCCAACCAATCAGTAATTTATTCAACATATGTTTATTGAATACCCATTTATTGAATGCTACTTTCCTTCACATTCCTTTGGGATGGATGCAGCTCCAGTAGTTGACTTGGGTTTTGCTCTTGCCAGATAGTCTTCACATCTCTCTCTCTTGCTCATCTCCAGTGTCTAAGCAGTTTACACAATGATGATGGACAGTCACTGGTGGATGATTTAATGAATGAAATGGGCTTTCAAAGGTATAGTAAAGCAAGGGATGAGAAGTAAAGGAATATGAAAGGCCTAAATTTTGCTTCTCCTTTCCTGAGAAGTTTGGTTGGGTTGACTTACTCATTTCACTTTAGTGAAACCCAAGGTTAAACTTGACTGCCAAAGCTACTTCCTTTTTTGGGGGCTGCATGCATTACTTGGGAGATTCAAGGATCAAGAGCACCTCATTAAAATTTGAGTGTGTGCTCTTGCAATAGAATTCTGTAAATCACGCCTAATAGCACAAACCAAACACGATTCCTACAACTTTGTACACTTTCATTATAACGTGACTTGCTTTATGTTGGTCTGTATAAGGCTGTGGATCAAACCATGCACCTGAATTATCCAGCTCAACTGGGGAATTCTGATGGAAGAATTAAACTAGACTGTATTAGATAAATTAACTGGAAGCAGAGGTGGGTTCTAAGCTGGCAGCCCATGAGCCAGAGCCAGGCTGCAAAGGTGATTCACTTGGCCATAGCATGTTTAAAAAATAATTGGACCAACATGTAGGAATTGGGAAAGTTTGCATGTAACTCATATTTTCACTTTTTTTGAAAAATTGAAAACTCTGGGAACTGCAGCCCTAGTTCCTGCCTGGTAGCAACTGGCTGGGACTGAGTGGCAGCTGCTCTCTATTTGCTTGGCCTCCTTTACCTTACCTTCTTGGCTCCCATGTGAATCTGAGTTTACCATCCCTAATGGAGGGACTTCAGTCTTCAGGAAGCTTGTGGAATCGATTACAGTAACATTTATTTTCTCTCTTTCTGTTTTGGTAGCTTTAAAGGTGGTCACTTAGCTATGAAATTAAATAAGCATAGGTCCTTAATTAGAGAGCATTCCTTTTAGATGGATTTTATAAACACTAATAGCATTGAAATGAGACTCTATTCTCGTAAAGAGATCCTTCAGAAAGTAGATAGAAGCAATAGCTAAGCATCTGCAATGTTGCAAAGGTGTGATTAATCATGATGACCATTAATTATGTCCTGTAGAGGAAAGTTGTTGTGCTCTGCAACATACTTAAGGTGGAATTAACAGAAAGGAGTATGCTATTTAAAAAATACAGGTTTTGTGACATTTGATCATGCATAATTCTGAATTCTAATAGACTTTTTATTATGAGATGATACTTTTCCTCTGAATTAATGTATTAGGAAGTAACTGTACTCTATTCTCAGTAATAGTTGACATTGAAATGACTTCTCATTTCCTTGTTTTCCTACATACCTCATACCCAAAACCCAGAATGGGCAAAACCTTTTCTCCTTGACTCACTAACCAAGAGCATAAAGCAATGCTGTCCTTTATCTCTATGTTGTGGCCCAGTGTCAGGAACAGCTCTCCCTAGGTCCTGTTCTAGGAGTTAACTCACAAGTCATTGGTTTGTACCTGGAATACATTTCCTTGTTTAATTGATCTTAGCTCTGGCTCTGGGGAACCCCTGGTCCATCTGTATAATTATAAATAATAGTTCCAAGCACACTAGCTTTGGAGAACCAGGTTTATAATAATAGATTGAGGGCCATGTTAGGAGACAGAGTGCTGGGATTAGAATCCTAGCTCTTACGTTATCTGGGTGACCTTGCAAAAGTAACTTCATGTCTCTGGGCCCCAGTGTTCACACTGTAAGGTAAGAATAGTATAAGTGTCTACCTACAGGGTGGTTGGGAGGCTTAAATATGTTAATATGTGTACAATACTTGAAATAGTCCTAGGCACATGGTAAGTGCAATTTTTTAGCCATAATTTTTGTTAGCCAATGTTGGGACAGGTAATAATGGAGTGAGTACAAGAAAGAGGTGAGGTATTCAGTTGGCCCTTAGGCTTATTTCACCAAAGGTCTGTTTGGCTCTCATACACTTTGTGATCTTTGGGCTGCAAAGAATCCCCAACGTGGGCTGTCAGTTGTGGAGGCAGCAGTAGGAGGTAGCAGCAGGCAGATGGAATGGCAGAGGCATCAGATGCTAGTCTAGGCAGGCAGGAAATGGGAGGAAAGTGCAGGAGTGGCTGCAGGTGTGGCCCCCATGAAGGGCAGAGCCAGCTGCCAGAGGAGTGTGGCCAGAGGCAGCAGGTGGAGGTCTGAGCAGGGATTGCAATTGATCAGGGGATGCGGCAAGGGGTATGACGTTCTCAGGCAGAACCTAGGCCTAAAGAAGCTGCCACACCATGTGAGATGCTGGGTGGGGTCCTGGCCTTCAGGAAGTAAAACACAAGACTAGGCATGAATAAGAACAAGAATAAGAAAGGCATAAAGACTGAGTAGATGTTCAATGGTGATCTAATGACTAAACAAAGCCAGTGTCTCACCAACTAACGGGCCTACCTGGAGCATGTATGCAGACAGGTCAGGTGCCAAGAGGGTCTGGCTCAGTGTGAGGTCCTGGGCACAAGCACACAGCTAAGATCTCTGCGTGCACAGGGCTGTGCTGAGTTTGCCCACTCTGTTCAGAAGAGACCCTCTGTAACTGTTGAAGGAACGAATGGCTGAGCAAGCAGATGCATGAAAGAGGACCAGGCGGGCACACCGGAAGAAGGTCAGGATTGGGGATGACTTAACTGTTCCTTCTTTACCTGGCTTTAGGGCCAACCTTCATTAAACTGTGGCGGAGGCTATTTGCCCTCCATAGCCTCACCCTCTTTTCCTTCACTCTTCTGCATCCTGGCTCCCCTTTTGGGGCTCTTCCTCAGCTCACCTCAGCCCTCAGCCCTCATTACCCACCCACAAGTCTCAAACATATTCCTTTACCTCTCTGCTCGAGTTCCCATTCATTCTGCAGCTGATCTTAGGCATGTTTGGAGGAAAATAAGATGACTGGATGAATATATTCTCATGTGGAGATGGCTAATCATCCTTGACTCTCTGAAGAGCAGATTGTACTTTCAAAAGAGAAAATTCACTTGCCCCCAATATCTTGAAGTTGTGGGAGACTCAGGGGTCAATGCCCCAGGGTGCCCTCGAGGTTCCACGTCCTTCTCTTCTGAACCCACATCTTTTCTGAAAGTGCCAAGCTTAGGGCAGTTTTTTCAGGGGCTGTGGCATGGTGGAAGCTAGGGCCAGGCAGGGGCTGGTGTAAAGCGCAAAGGTACGTTCAGACTGTCCTCACAGAGCCACTGATACTCCATCATTTCCCACCTAGACACGCATATGGCTTTAGATAGACTTTCTATCCTTTCATTTTCCTTTTCCTTAAAAGAAAAAGACTATTTTCTTGTGAAGCAAAACATATATATAGAGAAGTACACTGAGTGCATATACACAGTGTGAATTCCTGTGAAGTGACCTTGTGCCTGCAGTTTCACTGGGAATGCACCCTGGGACTGAAGAGTGGGGACATCGGGGTGTGTATTTCCCACCAGGGGGCCACACCATTTCCCAAAGTGGTTGCCAGGCTGCTCCCAGCAGAGTCATGAGGGTTTCCACAGCTCTGCCCCCTTGTCCCCACTGGGTATTGTCTGCCATTTACGTTTTCACTCTTTGGGCGAATGTGGGGTGGCGTCTCTTATAGTTTTTACATGCATTTCTGTGATTAATAATATAGGTGAGTCCCTTTTCCTGTGTTCACTGGCCATTTAGTTGACCTCTTTTGTGAACTGCCTGTTCAAGCCACTCACTTTTCAATGTGCTGTTTCACCATCAGTGTGCTGGAGTGTCTGTTGGTCTCCAATTGGAATATTTTATTTGTTTCCTAGTAGTTGAAACTCACAGCTCTGTTGGGTTTAGGGGGAGAGAGCTAAGCAAATCTTAGAGAAAAGTGCAATCAACATCTTTTTGTGCCACTTTTTACCTAGGCCAACTACAGGCAAAGCATTGACAAGTTGAAGTACAGCTCTGTGAGCAACACGCCTCAGATTGTTCAAGCCAAAATCAATGCCCAGCAACTGAGTCTTGTGAGTGACCTACTCCTGCCCAGATGGATGTTGGGGACTCATGCTTTGTGGCTTCTGGATATCTGGCTCCCCAAGGATATGACTTTGATTAATTCTGATATATGTCTTATCACAACCATGATGTGACCCCCTTGATTTAGACTCTTTATTATGGAAAATATCAAATACATTCAAAAATAGAATATATAATGAATCTCCATGCACCCGTCACCCAGATTCAACAACTGTCAACTCATGGCCAGTCTTGCTTCATCTATATGCCCATCCATTTCTTGCCTCCCATATTGTTTTAAAGGAAATCCCAGGTGTTACGTAATTGAATCTAGAAATATTTTAGTATGCATCTCTTAAAAGATAAAAAATTATCCAAATTAATACTTTACACCAAAAAAACAGCAATAATTCTTAATTCCCCCAGTGTCCAATTAGCATTTGATATTCCAATAGTCTCTTAAGGTTATAATTTTTTAAGTTCCTTAGGATCTAAATAAGATCCACACTTTGTGATTGGTTGTTATGTCTTTAAGACTCTTTTTGTCTTAAAGTATTCCTCTTTTCCTCCAAGTTGTTTGTTGAAGAAACTCAATTATTTATCCTGAAGCGTTTCCCACAGTCTGAGCTTTGCTGATTGCATCCCAGTGTAGACTTAATGTGTCCTCTGGCCTTCAAATGTCCTATAAAATACTAGTTGCATCTATTAGCTTGATCAGGTTCCATTTAATCTGGGGGCAAGATTGCTTCTCAGATAATTCTGTTTTCTTCCATTGGGAGTCACATAATGTCTGCCTCTTCTTTTGTGATTCTTTTCAATTTGGACAAGTGTTTGATAATTTCTCTACCTTGCGTATATCGCGAGATGTTCAGCACCACAGCAAGTTAAAACAAAGTAAGCTTCATACCCTCCCATTGTTTCCAAGGAGGCTGGGGACATCACCATGGAGAAACCTGTCACAAACTCATCTGAGTGTGCCTCTGAGTTGTTCTACGGTTCATTTGGCATGTTTGGTCTGTTAATTTAAGACACTCATAAAATTACAGGCTTCCTTGTAAAATGCCGTATCAAGAAACTCCTCAGTGCTGGGTCTAAGAGAAAAGGGAAAAAGAGAGTGTTCCCCCCCAAATTCTCCTTCTGCCCATATAAAAACCTTGCATTGACTCCCTGGGTTTACTTTAAATCAAACAGGTGAATTACCGTGCCGACTATGAGAAAAATAAGTTGAATTACACATTGCCACAAGATGTGCCTCAGCTGGTGAAGGCCAAATCCAACGCTGAACTATTTAGTGAGGTAAGCAAGCAACAGGCGTGAGAACATGGGGTGGTACTCCTGCAGATGTGGAGATGAAGGTACCAGTCCAACAGCAGGAGCGGTGCTGTTCGTGGGAGGCCTCATCACGTTACAGTGTTTCATTTTGCTGCCTCACGGTTTGAGTGGGTCAACGGACAGATTGTAGCGATTTAAGTCATGTGAGCACGTGGGTGGTACTTGTTCAGACACACACGTGTCATCATCCTCTTTATCATCAGTCTAGTGACTGCCAACTGATGCTTTGCTATGTGGAGAAAATTTAAGTTTTAAGATCAATCTTAGTCACCAGATTCTTTCTGGAGTCGCAGGTAGGCTATGATGAAGCTTCTCATTCTATATGTATTTGTGGGGCAGAAGAAGAAGAAAATGAACTAATGTTTTTTGAATGCCTATTTTATGCTGGACACTGGGGTCAGCACTTGAAGTATGGAATTATTTAGTTACGAGAACCTCCAGGAGGTATTTGTGGGAGGGACACAGTTAGTGGCAGGGCTTGCCCTGAGTCAGACGTCAGCATTGCTATTTTTAATCCAAGTGACCCTGCATGAGGGGGCTGAGCCTCACAGCCTAGTGCGAAGAATTGGCAGCTGATGAGTAGAGGCCCTTAGGGAAGGAACACTAAGCTGTAGGTGGTGGCATCAGGCCAGCAGCTAACACCTTCCGCTTGTGTGGCACTTTCCTAGCTTAGGATCATTTCACATACTATATCCAATTTAGTCTCACAGCAACCCTGAGGCAGAAAATAGGATATTCTTTCTGCAGATGGCAGACTGAGGTCTAAAAAGTGAAGCGACTGGCCCAAGGTCTCTTGATCAGCAGAGTGAGGATAGGCACGTGGGTTTTCTCTTTGTCCTGTCCCATTACCACTGCTTTGCATGGCCCAACAGCTCAGGAATCAATTAACTGGGTTAATAATTGCTATTACCATTTGATGATAATAGCCAAGATCCTGGTCTGTAAACAGGTGAAGAAACCAACTTTGCTGTTTTTTTATATTTTAATGTCTTCTCAACCTTAGGCAGGAGTATAGAGAGTGAGTCCAGTTCACTTGCGTTTTTGTTTGTCAGGTTAAGTACAAAGAAGGCTGGGAGAAGACCAAGGGCAGAGGGTTTGAGATGAAGCTGGATGCCATGCCTCTGCTGGCCGCCAAAGCGTCCGGAGAGCTTGCAAGCAATGTAGGTTTTCTCTTATTATCTCAGACATGCGTAAGAAATGGTTCTAATGAAATCTCAGTGGTTCTGACAGAAAAAAAAAAAAACGACTGCAAATGTTGAAAACATCAGAATACTTTAATCTTTTTTCTGGGTTCAAGAAAGACTGGGAGGTGTTTTTTCCGAATGGTTCCCCTTGCTCTTGTTAAAACCAGAGCCTCGTAGATGGCAAAGTTTCTCTTTCCTTGATGGTAGACTTTCTTCTTTTGCTCAAGATTAAATACAAAGAAGAATATGAAAAAATGAAAGGCAGAGTCATGGGAACTACAGACTCCAGGCTTCTGCACTCCCTGCAGGTTGCCAAGATGAGCAGCGAGGTAAACTCTTTTCTCCCACAACCTTTTCCTTAGTGTTGAAAATTTGGCCAGGCCTGCTTCACCTGGGACTCTTACCTTTTTATTGACTTCCACCTACAATTTCTTTCCTGGCTTGCATGAGAAGTTTGTTCACTTTCCTCATTTTGCCAAAGCATGCTATTTTTTTTTTTCTTATATTGGTTTCAAATGTTATGCACAGTGGTTCAACAGTTAACCGTATTATTAAATCCTCACCCCCTCTAGTGCGGTTACTATCAACATAGAAAGATGTTACAAAATCATTGACTGTATTCTCCATACTGTGCTGCCCTCCCTGTGACCAATTTATATTNCCCCCAACCACCCCACTCCCTCCCTGGTGGTAACCACTAGTCACTTCTCAGTGTGTATGAGTCTACTGCTGTTTTGTTCATTCTGTTTTGCTTTGTTTTTGTACTCCGCAAGTAAGTAAAGTCATGGTATTTGTTTCTCCACCTGGCTTATTTCACTGAACGTAAAACCCTCTAGATCCATCCATGCTATTGCAAATGGCAGCATTTATTTTCTTTTTATGGCTGAATAATATTCCATTGTGTATATGTACCACATCTTCTTTATCCATTCATTTATTAATGGATACTTAGGTTGCTTCCATAGCTTGGCTATTGTAAATAGTACTATGATAAACATAGGGGTGCATCTATCTTTTCAAATCAGGGATTTTATTTTTGGGGGGTAAATTCCTAGAAGTGAAATTACTGGGTCTAACAGTATTTCTATTTTTATTATTTTGAGGAATCTCCATACTGCTTTCTACAGTGGTTGCATCAATTCACTTTCCCACCAACAGTGTAAGAGGGTTCCCATTTCTTTGCATCCTCACCAGCATTGGTTAGCATACTATTCTTTTAGAAAAGATAAGGTGTATAGCCCCTAAGGGTGACCAGCATCTACTGACCAAGGTACAAAGGTGTTGGCTACATTTATACATTCCATAGATATTTACAAACAACTATCCCGGACAATATCCTGTGCAAGGGGGACAGATCCTGGGGCTCTAAGAATGGACAATGCATAACAGGGCTCCTTCCTAATGGAGCTTAATTCTCCTTGGAGAGTTAGACAGTAAGGATCCTACTTTTTGTGGAAATATCTGGATGAATCCTGTGGTCACAATCACACGTGATTTTCAAAATATTTAACAAACCACTGAGGCGTCCAGGCTCCAACCAATCAAAAAAAATGATGCTGCTTGTAAATAACTGTGATGGCTGGACATTAACCTTGATAAATGTCATTTGCCAAAATCCTTTGGGGAAGGACAGTTCTGCTGGAAGGGACAGACCTGGTTGCTAAGCAAGTCTCCCCTGCCAGTGCCTAACAGGCCGAAAGGACATAAGAACATTGGGTTTCTGCCTTACAATTGCTGTTCCAAAGTGTGAAGCCAGCTTATGGTGCTCTGATGGTGCAGTCAGATATAATTATCTGATGAGTCATTAAGGAGCCATAGCTTGAATAGAATTAGAGAGTTGGCATCTGGGTTCCCACTTTGGAAGTGACTATCAAACAAGCCCTGTGAAGCCCTGTGAAGTGCATAGTCATGAAGCACACAGAGACATTGAGGATTTGGCTTCAGTATCGACAAAGAACAAAATGGTATTTCACATTTTCAGCTGGAGCACCTGGAGCCAAAAAGATTGTGTCTTGCCCCAAATCATATATTAGACAGTGTGGAGGGGTAGAGAATTAGATCCTAGAACTCTTCCTGGCACCATACTGCTAATACTGTAGCATGCTACCTTACCCACCACCACACCACCCTCGTCACCACCATCATCACCACCAACACCACCAACATCACTACCACTATTATCATCAACATCGCTATCACCAGGATCACCACCCTTATCACCACCAACACCAGCACCATGATCCCCACCCTCAACACCATAATCATTGCCATCCTCATTGCTAACCTTTATCAAGTATTTGCTATCTTCCAGTCTCTGCACTAAGCAGGTTTCAGCTGCGATTTCATTTACTTATCACAGTCGTGGACTCTTAGAGAGGTGGTGTAACTTTCCAGAGGCCCTCCAGCTGGTGAAGCTCAGATCAGTTTGGAACTCAGGTTTGGCTGGCTCTGGAGCCCAAGCTTTGTTATTCTCTCTCTTAAAGCTTCTACAGAAATCAGAGATAGAGTGTTCTCCCCCTGGAGCAGCCAGGTAAGAATATTTAGGATTGTTGAGGGGCACACCTTCAAGACAAAGCAGGGGCAACCTCAGCTCCTCGGCACCACCACCTTAAAGAGCCAGGAATCAGGTCACACCCTTCTGACAAATGGGTAGCATTCCCAAGAAAGCCAATTCCTCATGAAACCTGGGCTTCTTTCCTGTGTTTTTACATCACTCCTGCAAAGGCAGGCTTCAAGTAATGGGCCTCTTTCTGGTATATTCAAGGTTGAATATAAGAAAGGTTTTGAAGAGAGTAAGACCCACTTTCACCTACCCATGGATATGGTACACATCAAGCATGCTAAGAAGGCCCAAGCCCTGGCCAGCAACCTGGACTACAGGAAGAAGCTGCATGAATACACTGCACTGCCCGAAGACATGAAGACTCAGTGGGCCAAGAAAGCCTACGGGCTCCAGAGTGAGGTGAGTCCTGGCTCATTGCCAGTTCTCCCCAAGCTTCTCTTGTGATTGGATACAGTGACACATTCAGAGTGACTTTGAACCTGTGCATGAATCTATTACAGGACTCAAAGAACTGCTGAGATGTGCTGGGCCGTGGGAGGATGAATAGGTTATAGATAGAGTTGAGACAATGGAGACTAGAGGATGGAGGATTGGCTCTCAGACCTACTGCAGCAGAAGCCAAGATGTTGGTAATGGGGATGAGCAAAAGGGATGCAGTGTTGAATAGTAAGAAAATTTTGGAAATTTAGCAGGATGGTTGATAGGGTCCTTGGCCTTTCAAAATGTCTGAAAGGCCCTCTATTTGGTAAGGTTGTGGTATTTCAGTGCTGAGGTCGAGCATGCTCTTCTGGCGGTAAGGTGGGCCCAGTGGCTTCACCCCCAAGTAGAGTTCTGCCAACTATAAAGGAGGAGGCAGCTGTTGTAGAAGACAAAGGCAGGGCATGCATTTTCCTGACCCTCCTGTCAGCTTTGCTCAGTCTGCATCCGTGTGTCTGGTTGTAGCTTGGATTCTTCCCTTGCAGCTGCAGTACAAGGCTGACCTGGCATGGATGAAAGGAGTCAGTTGGCTGACTGAGGGGAGCCTCAATCTGGAACAGGCCAAGAAGGTTGGACAGCTGGTCAGCGAGGTAACCTGAGCTTAGGCCCTGGCTTTGAGGAGTTCTCAACACCTGAGTCACCAAGAGCCATACTTTCCTCTGAGTCCACCTCCCCGGCCCCCACGCTTGGGCGTGACTTGGAGGAGTTCTTTGCTTTGCACCTGTAGCACACCCTGAATTAACCTTCCACATCCTCACACTTCTGGGGCAGGTGTTTGTAAGAAGCCTCCAATTTACTTTAAGTACTTGCCTCCAAAGAATATTTCAGTAGGGCTATAATACACAAGCAGTTCACACGCTGGAAGACCGTGTTAGTTAAGGAGTGTGTGAAACGGAGAGTCTGATATTAGGAGGTCAGCATTCTCATTATGGCTGTGCCTTCAAGTCACTGCAGACTTTGGGCAAGTCGCTCAGCCCTCTGATCCTCTTCCTCTCATGTAAAACTAGAACATTGAAGAGATTCCTCTCCAAGTCCCTGTAGTTCTCAGCCTGTGCTTCTCTTCACACTGGGTAGGCTGGCTTTGGCAGCAGGCAGCAGACTTTTGAAGGGCATTTCATTTAGAAATGTGACTATTTCAGGAACTCCATTTGGGACCTTCAGAGGGGATTCTTGTTTCAGAACCAGGAAGGCTGAATTGGCATATCTCTTGTAAACGATAATAATAGCGATAAGGGTAGCTGCCATTTGCAGACTGCCAATGATTATGCAATAATTGCTCTCATTTATTGACCACCCTGAGTGGTCATTTCTTCATATTGTTCGTTTCTTGCTCACAATAGCCCCGTGTGAGTAGATGCTATTAATATCCTATTAATATCCCCATGTGACACATTTGAAAAGTGAGACTTAAAGTCACATTTCAGGTGAGGAGCAGATCTGGGGCCTTTATCCAGTGTGTTTGGTGCAATGCCCCTGCCCTTGACCTTGAAGCCATATTGCATCTACAAGGCACATTTTGTAAGTTATTCTTATTTTTTCCAGTGTACTTAAACTTCTGTGAGACACAGGCACAATTAAAGTTAGACTGTATGTCTAAGGAAGTAGATAGGAGGGACTAACCTTTCAGAGTTGCTATTACTTAGCTTCTTTGAGACCAGCCGAGAGCCAGGTGAAGCCACCAGAACCCCATTTGTCTTGGATAGGGGCATGATAAGACGACCTGACCAGCTGACCCTTCAGCCTTTGGAATTTTGATTTCTTTCTCACTTCCTGGGCCTACTAATTGTTAAGCTCCTTGAGGGCCAGGAAGATACCATTTTCTTGGCCTGTTTTACATCCCTGTTGTGTACAGGGTAGATTCTTGGCTCCTCAGTAAGTCCTTAGGATTGACCAACGTAGAGTCTGTGGTGACTGGGCATTCATTGCCAACCATGGATGGGCAACATGACCTCCTTCAGTGGTGTGCTGAAATTTTCTCCATTCAACACCCTGGAACTGAAAAAGAAAAAGCACAAGTTTCTTTGGAAAGTCTTCTCCAGAATTTTTTTCCTAAAGGGAGGACATTTGGAGTTTGAATATTCTAATCCCTATTTGGGGTCCCATTGGTATCTCTGAACCTCCTGCTGACAGCACTGGGGGTCCTGCTTATCTCTGATCTCCCCACCAAGGGAAGCTCTGCTTCAACGAGCATCCTCAGCAGCTGCCTTTCCTGTTGACTCTGGCACCTCCAGGGGAAATGCTAGAGGAACCAATCCCTGGGAGGGGAGAGAAGGGTCTGTGGGGGAACAGAATTAGCACATTTGAAATTTTGCCAGTTACCCTGTGGCTGTGAGATGGGGACACCATGAAGGCAAGCCCTTAGTCATCCAGGACATTAAGAAGCCGTGAGGATGAATCCCACATGACACTAGCCTCGTGTCTGCGGCTCCTGGCATTTCCCTCCCTTAGTGCTTAGTTGCCTCTTGGATAATATCACACTGTGAATAACGGTTACAAATGACGGCTCATGCAGCGGGCACTGACTGCGCAAGGACTCTGCTCATGGAAAGCACAGCTTTGGGGCCTCCACTCTTCTGCTGTTTTCCTCACAGTACAGCTGAAGCAAGAGTGGTTCCGGTGATTAAGTGATATACCCAAGGTCGTGAAGCTGCAAAGAGGTGGAGCTGAGATTTGGACCTTGGTCTTTGTGGTTGTGAACTCCAAGTTCCCTCCACCTCACTCTCCTATGTCAGACCTCATTTTATAAAATGGATACCTCCCAGGGCACGTGGTGAAATACAGCATTTTTATTGAGGGGGAAAAATTCAAATCCCTACTCAGTAGTAGCGACTAAAACATGATCACCAGAGCAGACCATCTCAGTTTAAAGCGGCAGGACCCATGCTTGGGTCCCCGAATGTGTGCGTATGTGAGTGTGCATGTGTGTGCTGGTGGGGACAAGCCACTCCTAATGCGGTGGGGCCCCTTTATTTTGGAAACAGAAAAACTACAGGCAGAAGGTGGATGAGCTGAAGTTCACCAGTGTGGCCGACAGCACCCAGATGGAGCACGCCAAGAAGAGCCAGGAGCTGCAGAGCGGGGTGAGTCCTGAGCTGCCCTTTTGCCACCAGGCGGCTGTGTCATGGGCCTGGGAACCTCTGGGGACAGGAGCCGGGGCTGCCCAGGCACAACCTGGGGACCAAAGAGCCTTCCCTTTAAATAGGTTGGACCCAACTTGCCACAGGCTTCCAGGCTGTCTCTGGGAACTGCTCACCAGGCCTGCCTGCCACCCACACCACACTTCCCCCCTGCTGGTTAGGGATAGATGCCAACTGATGTTATTCCTTCCCAGCCTTTAGTCTTGCTGAGTTCCCTCTTTCTCCTCCTTCTCTCTCACCCAGCACAGGATTCTCTTGGAGGAGGAGAATGCTTGCTTGCGGATGTGTGCATTGTATACCTACTAGAGCCTAAATACGGGAGGCAGAACAATAAAACACCACATATGCTGTTTGCATGTTAGTGTTCAACACTTTGTGTGCTTCTGCGTGGAGCAGGTGCCCAGCTGCTACAATCTAGCCAGCTCTTCCTAACGGTCCAGGTACACCTGCCAGAAAGGAGGCTATCAGCATAAATGAGTCGGCAGAAAGCCACTCACTACTTGGAAAGTCAAATTGGGGAGTATTTGGAAACCTTGGAAACTTGAGAAATAGCAAGAGTGATACATTTTCCTTGGAGGAGATGTTCACCCCTGTTGCCTTTGTGGTCGCTGCTCACTTTCCAGGTGTCAGTACCTGTGGGTACAGGGGGCAGAGGATGCTTCTTCTTTTCCCATTTGCGGGGTCTATGCTCATCTGAGCAGCTGGTGGGTTATTCTTTGTGGCTGCAGCCATATAAATGGAATAGCTCGGGGAGGTTGATGTCTTCTCAAGTGAAAAGTGTGAAAACAAACTCTTGGCAGGACTTTCAGGTTGCTGTCCTGGCCACATTCTTCTCCCAGCTCCCCCCCTGCTCTTTGCTTTCTCCCTTCCTGTCCCCCGCCTTCAGCCTCATGTGCTGTGTTCTGCCAGCTGGCATCTGGGCTAGTAGGTTTCATAATGCACTTGCCATGCAAGTCACAGAAGAGCCAAGCAGACATGAAGACCCATGAGTGATGCCACTGCACCTGCTCCTGACCTGGTGCTCTCTCCCAACAGGTGGCCTACAAGGCAGGAAACGAGCAGTCTGTCCATCAATACAGCATGAGCAAAGACGAGCCTCTCTTCTTACAGGCCCGAGTCAATGCTGCCAATCTCAGTGAGGTACAGTGAGTGGGAGTAGCCAGCTGTGGGCCCTGCCTCCCTGTGTAGGTGCCTGGTCAGCAAGACCCACCCACCGAATTAGTGTGCCCACTGAGGTCACATGCTTCTGGTCATTGTAAACAGCTTGTCTGGCAGACCTTGTTCCTGACCAGTGTTTTAGGGGGCGGGATGGACAACCTTTCATAAGAATATTCTGAGGTGATTTGAAACCCCGACTGTATAGTAGGGCAGGAGGCAGGGGTTATTCCGAGGTCTGGCTGAAACAGCATTAGCGCATTCATAGAAGGGAGCACGAGTTCAGATGTTAGTTCCAACTGCTCGAGTTTGAGCCCTGGTGCTGCCACGTCAAGTCTGTGACCTTGGGCAAATCCTTTGCTCTCATTGCCCTGTTGGTAAAGTGAGCGCAATACTAGTCTCTTCCTCATGGGGTTGTTATGAGGCTTCAGTGAGTGCTTGGAGGGATGAGCAGCAGGGTAGCCATTACTCTCAGGCATGAAAGCAGGCACAGTCCCAACTTTCTTCTGTCTTTTAAGGAGGGGCCTTCTATAGCTCCTCCATTCAGCTCCTAGGTCTTTGGGGTCCTGATCAGAGCAATGGGTAGAGAGGAGGATTAGAAGGAGCAGCAGAGGCTAAATTGAGAGGAGAGCCTTCCAGAAGAAAGAATTTGCAATCTGGGCAGGACAGGAAATGGGAGCAACAAGGAGAAGACCCAAGTGGACAAAAGGCTGGCAGCAGAAAGAGAAGGGAATGCAGCTGGAGAAGCACCTGGGCTGCATGGGGGGGTGTGGACAGAGATGGAGAACAGCCTTCAGATATGTTTCTGTGTGTTTTGCAATAATATTCCACCTTAAGCATGTCTTTGAGACTTCTATGAAGACTCCTAGTATTTTTCAAGGCCTCTGGAAGTCAAGTTCTTCTCTTGATGTGTTAAGAAGGCTGAGGGCAGGAACAAGAGGCCTGGCTGTATTCAGGCTATGGGGTTTCTGTGGTTCTTGACCTTTCTGTGGAAGTGTGGAAGTGGTGTTTGCCTCCTAGAGAGAGGTAGTTACAAGGTCTAGGAAGCTCTCTCACAGGAGGATAAGCTCTTCTCTCCTAAATCCCTGTAGAAACTGTATAAGAGCACCTGGGAGAATCAGAAAGCAAAAGGATTTGAGCTACGTCTTGACTCCTTGGCCTTTCTGGCAGCCAAAGCCAAGAGGGATCTGGCCAGTGAGGTGAGTTGTACAGGACACCACGAATCCTGCCTATTTACATCCGGTTGATCTGTAAAGGGTCTGGGCAAGTTCTTAATCTCTCTGAGCCTCAGGGTTCTAATCTGTAAAATGGATAAATATAACCCCCTTTCCATGAGATAACCATGTAGGTGCCTAACACATGGCCTGCCACACATTGATTTTCAGTAAGTAGAAATTTATTATTAGTGGTAGTAGTAAGCGTAGTAATCCAAATAGCTCAGTTTACAGGTAAACTGAGACATTGCATGACTCTCTGAGGATGCTGCAGCCTGTTAATGACTCAGAGTACAGGCCCTGGTGTCAGGTAGACCTTGGATAAAACCCTAGTTCCACCACTTACTAGCACTGTGACTTGGGGCTGTTGTTTAACCTTTCAAAGTCTCAACTGGCAATTGCAAAATGGCTATGAGGAAATGAACTGACTTGAGGCACAGGGAATTCTGCAGATGAGTGCAGACAGTTGTGAGTCTGATGTGAGTGAGATAAAGAGCCAGAATGTTTTCTTCATCAAGAGACCCTTGCTTCCCAAACATTCACAGATAGATAGATTCTATCTATCTATCTATCTATCTATCTATCTATCTATCTATCTATCTTAGACAGACAGATAGATAGATAGATATAGATATAAGCTGAATGAAACAGGGCTGGGTGATGCTGTTGATTGACATTCGACACCAGCTCCTCATCTCATCAACTGGTAACATTTCCAAACCAGCACTGGGTCTGCAGATGCACTTTGAATGGTTGATGCCATTCATTGATACCATACCCAGCTCAGAGTAAGTGTTCTATAAATGGTGGCAGATACTCACCCTGTTGCTTTTGGCAGAGATGAGAGTGGAGCCCAAATCTGCCAATGGCCACAGTAATGATAAAGTTGAAAATGGTGCCACACACTGGTATCCTATTTTTCAAGCATTTCCATATTGATTCTTTCTTCTGATCTTCATTCCTCTTGGCCTAGTGTTTTTATCCAAGCCTGCATGCTCCCTTTTGTTCCTCGAACTCCTGAATATTTCTGTGTAGCCCAGTTGTTCTTCAATTTGAGCTCCTTTTCAAACAGCAGTTGTATTTTGGATATTCTGCATCTTTTTCATTTCATGACTACCTTTTATTTAAAATTTTCTCACTATTACCAAAAAGAATTTTAAAGGGGCTTTCACGAATGCAACAGGCCTTAAAAATAAATCCAGAAAGAGTGATCTCAAATAATACAGAACAAAGATGGAATTTCACCAGGAAATTGGGAGAAGACTGTTCCATAGCTGAGCATTCAGTTTAGCTCTGAGATTTCTGACAGCTGAGGTGAAAAAGGAAATAATGGGTAATAATATTTTATCTCACTGTTTGTTGAAAAGAAGCCTATCAGTTGTTCAAAATTTGGAGGCAAGCTCTTCATGACATGAACTCTAGTAGGATTCTGTTGTATGGTTTTATTTTAACTTTCATTCCTGTGGTTTGAACTTAACCATTCCTTTAGGAGAGTCTAATGTAGCCCTGCTCTCTTCCTCTCATTTAGGTGAAGTATAAGGAGGATTATGAGAGGTCCAGAGGGAAGCTAATTGGGGCCAAGGATGCCCAGGGTGATTCGCAAATGAGCCACTCACTGCAAATGTCCAAGCTGCAGAGTGAATTGGAATACAAGAAAGGATTTGAGGACACCAAATCCCAGTGCCATGTCCCCCTGGATATGATCCACCTTGTGCACGCCCGCAAGGCTCAGCATTTAGCCACAGACATAGGCTACAAGACAGCGTCACATCGCTTCACGGCTTTGCCCACAGACATGAAGGTGGAATGGGCCAAGAAGGCTTACAGTTTACAGAGCGATGTAAGCTCTGTGTGCGTGCGTGCGTGCATGTGCTGGTGTCGGTGAGAGGGTTTTCCCAAGCCCTTCAAGACAATAATTTATAGTCTGAGGTATCTGTTTCTGGATCCCTAAATGGAAACATTTTAGCTTCGTAGTGGTTTAACTTTTATTCAAACTATGCCCATTTTAGATTCTAGACTACCGAATGGAAAATCAGAAAGCTACTTTCTTATTCTTGGAATTCCGTTCTATGCACATTTTCCATGTTTCCTTTTATTGCTGGGGGAAAATGCATTTGTTACCTTCTTAACTGTGACCTCCCACACTGGTTGGAACTTCAGCAGTCCCCATTTTTAGAATGGGCAGATTGCTCATCTCACAACCCTCTCCCCTTTCTCCTTCTGTTCCCCACCTGGTTCACTTTTCGTCTGTCTTCAGTTGACTCTTGTACAAGAAAGTTGAGCTGAAAAGGCAGGTCAGCCGGCCAGCCAGTCGGTTACCTTCGGGATGGGGAGGGGGCAATGTAGACACACCCTTCCTGACAGAGCTGTTTCAGGGCAGACGGGTGACATCTAGTTTCAGTGAAGTGTCCATTTAAATGGCTTCCCATTAAAACTGTTCCTTCAAATGGCAAGTAAAGAAATGAGAAATAGGCCTTGCTCTGCACCGAGGTGCTTAGGAAGGAATGGACGCCATGGGAAGCCTCGGATGTCTTGTGAAATTCCCTCAAATAGCTCCCCACCTGGGTTCTGTTGTGAGTTCTCATTTTCTTCTCCCCTGCATGTCATTTTAAACAAGAAAATGGGGAAAGCAGACAATGAGGACGCTCCTCTTTCCAAGGTAGACACAAGTCCATAATGAGGGATAAGGTGGATTCTACCCCTCCAGCTCCACCTCCGATAGTGTGGGGTGGGGCCTACGCCACCAGCAGGGCGCTCCAATTAAAGCGGACATTAATTTACATTTTGGAGCCTTACCTGTGAGGGTGCAGAAATCGATAAGACAAAAGTGGCATCTAATTTGAGTCGGCTGGCAGCAAAGCTACATCCGGGAGCTGTTAATAGCCCTTTAAATGTCTGTGCACCAACAATGGCCTGCCTTTTTTTTCCCCTTTCTCCTTTGTCAGAACCAATACAGGGCAGATGCGAAGTGGATGAAAGGCACGGGCTGGGTCGCTACCGGGTCATTAAATGTGGAGCAGGCGAAGAAGGCAGGAGAACTCATTAGCGAGGTGAGATTTCCTGACAGCGTGCAACAGGCCTGGCTGCACTAGGCGTGTGGCATTTCTGTATAAAATTAAAATAATTTCCACTCAAAAGGCAAAGCTACATGAAAGGTCTCCATACCCAGACTAGGGCTGGTAATTAGAGGGAAACCATACACCAGACACACACCAGTAGGGGCCCATAGAGCCCCGGCAAAAACAAAGTGGGTGACAAATGATATTATGAATAATAATGACAATCAAAAGGGGCTCAATTGCTACCCATCAATTTACCTTTTTAATGAAGCGACACGGGAAAGGTGATAAAATGATGCATGTATTGCACCAGGAAAGCCCTTTTGTGAATTTATGCACATTTCCTCTGTTTCTGCCTCAGTGTAAACAGATTTTGAATTCTCATGTGGTGTTGAACATGTTACCCAGTTCTCCCTTCTTGTGGGGTGGGTGGGGCTCACTTCTATTTAAATCTCACTCCTGTCTTCTTGTAGCCACCCTAGCTGGACCCTAAGGAATTGTGGCTTATAAAATTGCTCACATTTTAAGACAATATGATTGAGTACATCTTTTAAAGCCTAGATCAGCGTTTCTCAAGCTCAGCACTGATTGACACTTGAAAACCCTTTGTTGTAGGGGCTGCTGTCCTGGGCCTTGTAAGATGTTGGGCAGCACCCCTGGCCTTTACCCACTACATGCCAGCAGTGCCTCTGCCTAGCTCTGACAACAAAAAATATCTCCAGAGGTTGCCAAAAGATGGAGAGGCACTAGACTAGACACACTGGAGAGTTGTCATTGCCTCATACTCACAAGGAGGCTGCATACCCTCAAACAACACAAATCCACCTCTGTTCATTCTGTTTGGAGAGGAACTTTTACAGAAAGCAAGTGAGCATTTTTAAAGTTGCCTTCAGAATAGCCTGGTCTTTCTGGACTTTTCTGGGTGGGGGAGGAGACCGTAATGGCCATAGTCCCAGAAGAATTTAGTCTTGGCAGTGAGCCTCCTGGAACCTTCTTTGGAGGAGACTTACTGAATATACAGTAAAAACAGAAAGACACCCATGTGGTTTTTTCAAACACACCCGCCTGCCACTGATATTTTCCCATGGGCAAGTATTGCAGTTATCTGACATGTCACAGAGCTGATTTCAAAAGTGGGTTCACTCTAATTGGCTTAATTTTTAGGAACATTCATCAACATTCAAGGCTCAGAAGACCCTGGGAGCTCAGGGGAGACTGAACTGCCCTGAATAGTTCAGTCTCATTAAGGAAAGGCCCTCTTAGCAGAATTAGCATGACTTACAGGAGCAACATTCAGGTTTGAGCATTCATGGTCCCAGACTCTCAATATTAGGCCCACTCATAAAAGGATGCAAAGAATAAAGACCAATGAATACACAGTTTAGACTTTAAGATGATTCCTTCATCATCTTAGCCTGGCAGCCAAGAGATCTTTTTGGAACCATGTGTTGCACAGTGGTCTTAATTTTCCACCTAATTTTTCAAACTTACTCAACAAATGTGCTTATTGTCCGTGCTTCATACCAATTCTCAAACTTTATTGAGGCAGGACATCTTTCATCAACTTTCCCTAACCATCTCAGTTCAGTTTGATGCATTTCCAGTTTAGTGTCAAATTGACTAACCTCTTAATTTGCAGACAGAATGCCAGCCACTGTTGAGTCACAAATGTCCACACACCTAGTATTTAAAGCAGGAGCCAGCAAACCTGTTTTTGTAAAGAACCAGATAGTAAATATTTTCAGCTTTGTGGGCCATCTGGTTTATGTGGCAGCTATTTGACTCTGCCATTGTTGCATGAGAACAGCCATAGACAGTACATAAATGAATAAGCATGGCTGTGTCCTAATAAAACTTTATTTACATAAACAGGTAATGGGCCAGATTTTGACTGGATATTGAGCGATGTCTTAAGACAGCTTTGTATACAAAAATCCAACCTGATAAATAAGGAAGTATTTATAAAATAGTTATTTGATTTTAGAAAAGATGTACTTCATAATTCCAGTAAGATAACAACAATTATAGTCTCCTGGAAATGTACTTTGATTTAAAAAAACAAACAGGAAACAAAATTGGGTATCTAGATCTCCAGCATTTAAATTTTTTGTAATTTTTAACATTTTTACTTCAAATTGTGTGATGATTCCTTTTAATAGTAGCATACTTTTTCTTGTTATTGTAACATTTTAAAGAATTATTGTTTATGTTAACTGAACTGGATTCTAAAGGATTGGCTAGTGTACGAACGCTAATTGTTAAATGCAGGAGTTTTCACTGTTAAGCCCTTTTGTAGAATGAAAATAGGAAGCTTCAGTTGATAAATGTAACTATGAATGTTCTTTCTTGCTTGGGAGATCCAAGCTAAGATACGTAAACAACTGCAAGATGGTATTTGACGCCTATAAGAAGAATCCTTTCCTAAGTGGGTTTCCCATAGTATTTTACCAGGATAACCTAATTTTGAGATGCTTTCTCTGCACCAGGTAGAAATACTTTAATGTTAATTGACATGAGGTTATTCTTAAATTGAAACAAATATTAACCTGAAGGCATCTCGGATATAAAGATGGAGGAAGCAGAATAATAATTATGTTCACGAATTCACTCTAATCTCAAGCAACCTATGATTTTCCCTTTCAAATGGCATGAAAGAGCAGCACAAAATTCACAGCTTTGATCTTTTTCTGCTCAACAGAAGAAGTACCGTCAGCATCCAGATGCTTTGAAGTTTACCAGTATTAAAGACACTCCGGAGATGGTCCAGGCCAGAATTAGTTATACCCAAGCAGTGGATGTAAGTGATAATATATATACATTATGACTCGAAGGGTGGGCTCTTCTTTCAACACTGCGATTGAAGCCGAGGGGTTCTTGGCTTGCTGCTTCTGTTGTTCTAAGGATGAAGGTGCTTCCTGTCCTTAGCAGGGGCGCACCTTAGCAGGGGTGCTTCCTCATTAGGATGCAAATGGGTGTTCCTTCTCTTAGGATGCCAAGTGGGGCTCTGCTCCCCCACTGCCCCAGTGCTCTCATCCCTTCCCATTTGCATGTCTCCAAGATCTGTCTGGTGGGCCTTTGACCCTCTCCTTTTGTCTTAAAGTCCTGTGTTCAGAACTGGAACTTTTGGGCGAAATTCTTGGTAATTGGAATACTGAAACCATGCTTAAGGCTCCTTGGGACCCAAGGGCAAGAATTCTTGCTCTCTGCATTCCTCAAAGCCTGAAAATTATTTGGGTCTTACTTATTATGTACATTAGACTAACTTTCAAGCCATTTCCCAGATTTCCTTTACAATGTGACCTTCTGTCCTCCCAGCACACAGGTTCGAAAGTTTGTTGGAGACTAAATCGAATGATAAGGTCCTCTAAAAAAATCACTTTAGAATGGGAATCAGCCCTGTTTGGTTGATTCTGCTGAGAGAGGCCCACAGATGTTTGCACAAGGCAGAAACACCTTTTAAACATCTTCAAACTGTTCAACTTGCCATGAGGAAAATTTACACATCTTGGTGGGGGAGGGCTTTGAAAATTCTCTCTCTTGCTTCCCAATGGCACAAATTATTCTGGTTGTGCCTTATTTGACGGGCATTCTGAAGTGGTCTGAGTGCCTGTCAGAATATGTTGTGGGATGATTTACAAGTTTGTGGGTTTAGAAACTTATAATTTCCTGACGATCAGCCCATCAGAAGTCCACTGAATTCTGAGAAATGGAGATGGTCAAATGACAACTTTTGCACGAAGGAAAACAATGCCTGCTTCTTCCTCACCCCAACCAACTCTAGAGGGCACTGCTGTGATACGTAGAAACTTGGACACAACTGATAAGATTTGGTATGGAAAAGCCTGCTTTAGAAACTTCCTCTGGTGGCTGATACCAGCACCAAGTGCCATCGCTCACCACTAAGCTCTCATAAGCCCAGATCAGAGTTCTGGGTGAACAGCACCCCATCCCAGTAGACACTGATTAGCACAAGAAGCCTTCAGATTGAGGATGGGCTAAGGATTGAAGTAGGTCCAGGGGAAACCTCACTGTGGAAGTGCTATTTCTCTCATGCCTTCTGAAGTTCGATGCCCTCTCACAGCTGATGGTTAATAACGAAATTGCTAGATGTTAACTAGACCTCATTTTCTCACTTGACACCCATCTCAGCAGCGGAGTGGTAACAGGTAACCAGCCTGTCAGGTTCTGAGGTGGAAGTAGAACTAGGGAGAGAGTGATGCAAATATCACCCTGCTAACTCTGAAGTCTAGGTGGAGGCTGGGCACCCTGGAGCCTGTCTCTCTGGGGAGGCAGCAGCTGCTGAACGCTTGTCTCCTGGAGGGTAACTTGGCTGATGGCTGCACGGAGCAGGCTTTCGGGTCTAATGCCAAACCTCTCCCTGTCTACAGAGGTTATACAAGGAGCAAGGAGAAAACATGAAGCATCATTATACACCCACAGCTGACCCCCCTGAAGTCCTGCTGGCCAAGCTGAATGCCATGAATATCAGCGAGGTGAGGTTAATGGAAGGGGCGCTGGGTTTCATTATGGGAGGTCAGGGCACCTGTGCAGTGTGCAGCATCTGTGTGTGGAGGGGCCCAGTGTCTGGTTTAACGCTCTGCTGTCACCAGCTTGAAATGTGTAATTTTTTGAATGACACGTTTGAACACATTTGCATTTGTACTGGGCCCTCCAAATTATGTAGCTGGTCTGAGAAAGAGTCAAGCTCATTTCTAAGCATGGGACTAGGAAAACTATCTCAGTACAAAGGGCATTTGTGTTGAGGGCCTCAAATGGAAGCACCCAAAAGAAGGTGAGTAGATCCAGGGCTGTGGCAAGGATTTGGGAGATGTCAGTCTTCCCTCCCATATTCTGTACCAGTAGCCCCTTCCTATTCTCCAAAATAGACGATGGAGTTCTCTTTTTGCCACATGAAGAGCTCTGAACATAGCCTCATGCCTCCTTTTTCCAATCAACTTTCTGCTCAGACAAGTCTGGGTCTGTCTGACTCCAAAGTTCTTGCTTTTTACTACCAGCCCCCCCCCCCCCCCCCCCCCGGCTCTCCACCTGCCACCAGGGGTGGACGCGAGGCAGGATCCAGCTCTTTGTTGGTTTTTGCTAAACCTTAATATCTCTAACTCCAACTGGGGAATTAAAAAACCCCATAGCAAACCAGATTCCCATTTCGGTAATGGAAAGGACCAAGTCACGTGAAAGTCTTTATTTGTGCGCATCTTCCCAACAGACGCGGTATAAGGAATCCTGGAGCAAACTTCGAGATGGCGGATATAAACTGAGACTGGATGCTATTCCATTCCAGGCAGCAAAGGCTTCTGGTGAAATCATAAGCGATGTGAGCGTCCACCTCCATCACTGTGACGGTGTTGAATACTAACCAATTTTTTACTCCTTTTGCCCCTAACCCCTGCCTTCTTTTGCCTGTGGACAATATCCTCTCCTCTCCCCGCTGACTGTGTTATCTGAGGCAATCAGATAACGACCAGTGAGAAAGAATGTACCTTACAACAAACAACCCCCTTGCCCAGGTACAAAGCCAGATGCTGGACTGTAACCATGGGCGCCGGGCAGATGAAATGCACCCTCCGCCAAACGTTTTCCTAAAGCAAGTCCATGTGAAGAGACTGTTAACAATGCACCACCTTCCTCCAACGTGGGCTGCCCGAGTGCTAGCATGTCCTGCCATTTCATATCCAGCCCTTTAGCATTGGGAGTCTTGCATATGAAAGAATAGGCTTTTTGACGACTCCCACGCGTTTTCTTTTAACTCACCCAGGGACTGTCAAAAGAACAAAACATTTTTGCCCAATACCCACCTCTTCCATTCTGTGTCCCTTGTCCCTGAGCTGTTACTCTCTCCCGCTTTCTTTCCCTTTAGTACAAATACAAAGAGGCATTTGAGAAAATGAAAGGGCAGATGCTTGGCTCCCGGAGCTTGGAAGATGATGTCAGCCTTGCACATTCAGTGTACGCGAGCTCGCTGCAGAGTGAAGTAAGTGGGAGAACATGCAACGGAGCTGGGCCCCCCGCCTAATGATGCACAGCCAGTGAATGGTGCCTGTCCTTCTGGTTATGGGTACTGGCTCTGCTAGAGCTACTTAGGTGGTGTTGTGAGGTCCCTGCGCCCCTCTGGGCTTCAGCTTCATCCTCAGTCAAGTGGCACATTGGGCCCATTGACCTTTTAGCTCCTTTCCATGCTCGACATTCTATGGTTTAACCAGTGGCTACAAAAGGGGGCTCTGTGGGCTGGATTTGGATTGCAGAGGTGTTCTGTTCGTTCTGCAGAGTGAATTAATTGCAAACCTTTAAAAATGGAAAACTGTATGTAAAAGTTTTAGACTTTTAAAGGCCAGAAGCCAGACCTGGATTCCTCGGGTGATTACTGACAATTCCATTTAGAAGGCATCTATGGTCTCCTGGTCATGCAGCCACCCCCACGCACCTCCTCCTTTACTCATTTATGCTACCTATCTGGCTCCTGGAGGCATCTGAGTTTGCAAATCTTGATTCGACCCTCTGGATGCTGGCACTTGTGTGCGTACACTGTCCCCTTGTGAGCTGGCTAATGGCAGAGATGAAATATAATATGTCTAACATGCTTTAGAGGGCCAAACACTTTACAAAACAATGTGAATTTACCCACTACGCTACCTCTGGGAACTGCACCTTGTTTTTCATCCTGGTTTAGTGATAAGGAGATCTAAACTCTGAGTGGCTCAGTCTTTTCCCTAAGCTCATCTAAAAAGGGGCAGAGCCAGGGCACGGAGCCAGCCCCACATCTCATGCTCTTTCCACAGCTTCACGTGTTCTTCTCTGCTTCAGTTTCTCTGTGTCAAACTTTCTCCCCCACTTTCTGTCCTGGGCTTGGACATGAATTGTCCTTGGCTTTATGCTAGAGGGATGGGAAGATCAGCAGAGGTGGGAGTGGGTGGTTGGGAGGATGGAGGAGGAGGTGTTGACTATGCATCTGACCCCAAAAACTCCTGTAGTAAGCACCGTAGCCCTTCCAACAGCTCCTTCCAGGACCGCAGTGGCACTTGTGGTCTGGGAATGGGCCCTACCCCCTCCCTCAGGATGCATGTTGGGTTCTTGGGAAGACCTACCCTCAGGACTGGCTTTCCTAGCATCTACCCACTGCTCCTGGATCCCAGATTTCTGAGAGGTCATCTGATTCTTTGATGTTCTTCATAAGCTAGCAGGAGAAAAGAACCCCCAGTGTCTAAAATCTGACCTAGAGAGGGTGTGCACAGGTGGGCAGGGGCGTCTTCTCACCTCTGGAAAATGGGCAGAACTAAAGATGGGTGAGGGAATCACTAAGATTATATCTGTCTCTTGAATTTCTGAATTTTCCCCAACTGAGGGAACCACAGGCTTTTGATACCCAAATCAGTGACCTCCAGGAGCTGGGAGTAGTGAGTGTCAGGGCCTGGAGCGAGTCCTGCTTGGTAAGCCAGCCCCCTGCAGAATGGCCCTGCCAAGAACATCTCCTGTGCTCACCTGGGACAGTTGCATCGTAGCTGCTCTCTCTGATGGTCTGGATGCAAATGGTGGCTTTGAAATAGCTGCCGTTGTTCTGTCTGCCCCTCTAGGTGAATTACAAGAAAGGCTTTGAACACTCAAAGGCGCAGTTCCATCTGCCGTTGGACATGGTAACCCTGGTGCATGCCAAGAAGGCTCAGAGCCTGGCCAGCGACCAGGACTACAGACATCCGCTCCCGCAGTATACTTCCTTGGCGGAAGACCTGAGGCTCCGCTGTGCCAAGAAAGCTCACCAGTTACAGAGCGAGGTAAGGAGGCCTGACCTCTCTCGGAGCTCTTTCCTCTCAGATTTCACCACAAGGCAGTGACCTGCAAGCTCTTGTTGGCACAGTGAAGGGCCTAAAGGTGAGGGGTCCTAAACCTGAGTTTTCTTTTGACAACACTGCCCCGGTGTTCCTGCCTAGCTCTCAGACACAACCCCACAAATCTCCCCAGCGCCACCCCACCACCACCATCAGCACCACCACAACCACTTACTGAGTATTTCTGCTGAATTCTAAGCATCACATCTTCATGTATTACCTTATTTAAACCTCAAAGTAACCCTACATCAATAGTCTTTATCCCCACTTTACAGAGAAATTATAGGAAACCTCAAAGAAGTTAAGTAACTTGTGCAAGACCACACAGCTGTCAGAGAACAAGGAGGGGCAGGCTGAGACTTGAGCTTAGATGGCATCTGGCACAGATGCCCTCAAGGTTCAGTTTTGCCAATGATGTTGCCTCTGGCCTCAGGTTGGACTGGGGGGGTTCCTCTTGGGGTTCATATATTCCTGTGCCACATCTTCTGAGGAGGGCTACAGGCTTTGGGAGAGGTTGCTCACAGCCCCTTTGTAACTGGCCCACTTCAGGCAGAGAGCGTGTTAGGAGGAGGGCAGGGAAACCAGGGCCCCAGGGATCCTTCCTGGGTCCTCTTGAGGGGTCTTGGACACCATCACGCTTCTCTGGCTCCTGCCCCCTGTTTACGGAAGCAGAGCAGGCCGGGGAGGGTTGGGAAACACGGAAAATTTCCTCACTCCCAAAGAGACACAGGATGTCTCCTCTGACCAGGCGGCAGCCTGCTTGGTTTTTCCTGTTCCCTAGCTTGCTGGGTTTCCATGCTTGAGATTTGCAAGTCGTGGGTCTGTGTGGAAAATAAAATGCCACACAAAATTGCTTCCTGGCTTGGTGATGCCTGTCCAGCACTCAGATCTGGGTATCTGTCATCTGTTGGAGTTTTACACCTGTGTACAGTGTTTACTGAATGACATGAACTGTCAGGAACCCAAGAGCAGCTGTAGGAACAAGGGAGCTGCCACACTCGGCTCAGGGGCCCGTCTGTCACTTGAGCAGAGTCCTCGCTTGTCCTGCCTTGTATTGTGATAACAATTGGAAGGCAGCACACCCAGGGGTACCCCGGTGGCTGAGGGGAGTGAATTTGGGGACCCTTTAAACTGTCAGCCCTAGTCACTCTGGCACACACACTTGCCTCCACCCACACAGACATGGGCAGGTCTTTGCCATCTTGTTCTTGATTCATTTATTAGTTCCTTCTTAACCCATGATTAATTCATGCCACCCTCTGCTGCTAGGTTTTGTTTTAGAAGACCTATTAAACCATTTCCAGTTTGCCCCAAGACAACTGACTTTCTCACCATAGTCTGCCGCAGCGTTTATTTTTTGATAGCCCACATTAAAATAAGTCTGCTAAGCATCCCTCTAACAGCTCTTGGGACAGGTGGCACCAGAAATTTTCTCTTCTGCCCTACATTTTTGTTTCCCTAAAGAGCATTTACTAAGAAGCGTTTGTGTGTTTGCTGAGGATGATACACCTGGAGAGACGGGCTTGGCCTGGGGCTTAATTAGGATGCTGTCCTGTCGTGGGTCCTCCGGCATCGCTCTGCTCGCTTGGTCTGTGAGTCTGGCTTTTCTGATTCCTTGTATTGTTTCTCACAGAATCTGTACCGGTCAGACCTGAATTTTATGCGAGGTGTCGCCTGCATCATTCCAGGCACATTGGAGATTGAAGGGAGAAAGAAAGCCTCTGAACTCATCAGTGAGGTAACTGGGAGCCAGGTGTGGGGACTGTGTCCAGTATGTTTGCACAGCTGTGGTAGGTCCACAGCGCTCGGTGTTTCTTACTGCTGGCTCAAATTAGGTGTCACATCCTTAGCACTGACAATTCTCTGCATAACCTCTTTTCCAGCCTGTCTTCTCATTGGTTTCTCCTTCATACTGGGTGTCATGAAGATGCCTTTGCAGAGAGTGATTCAGTTCCTCTATTAATGCAGAAGAATTATTCACTGGCTCCTAAGATGTACTTTCCTAGGGTCCTTTTGAAGAGTGGCCCTGGAGTACAATGAGAAGAGGGCAGACTTTGGGGATCCTCAGATGAAATTCCAGGCCAGCACTCATCTGCTGTGTGACCTCAAGCCAGTCACCTGTCCTCTCTGAGCCTCAACTTCTTAATTAGTCAAATAGGGATACTCATACTGCTCCTGTTTAGTTTTTGTGAGGATGAGCACTAATGTCAGCACTGGGTTTCTCCGGTGGCTGTATATCAAATGGTTGCTCTAAGTTTGGGATAATTTCTTGGTAAAAATACGGAAGTCTAGAATTCTAAGTCTTTGAACTCCTAAGGGATGTTTATCTTATTCAACCCTGAGAGGGCTCTGGGACTTCCACTCATGGTGGATGCATAATGGAAGGCCCTGGAAGTAAAAGGCTGACCATGGCCAGCCTGGGTGCTTCAGATGGGCTTACTCGTTGATGAGGAGCTCTGAGAAAGTGGGATTGGCCTCATTGTGGGAGGAGAGATTTAACTTTGTGGTTTGCTTTTGCAGAGAAATATCTAAAGCAAGTGGTTTCTAAACTTGGTAATGCATCAGAATCCCCTTTGGAGCTCTAAAAAAATACAGAGACCTGGGCCCAATGATGATTTACTGAATCCTGGCCTTCCTGGGTAGAGTGCAGGCATATGTATTTTTAAGATGCTCCGTTGTTTCTGGGACACTCCAAAGCTGGGGAGGTCTGGGTTTCCAGCAAGCAAAGGTCTCTGCTTCTTCATCCCACTGAGTTCTGAGGTCACAGGAGCAGGTGCTGATCTGGATTCCAGATGGCAGACTAAGCATCCTTTGCAAAATGACGTGGCATAACTAGTACTTAAGAGCTGGTTCTCCTTCTGGCTTTATCCCTTACCAAGTCTTCTCCTTCCCTCTTGTGTGTGACTTCAGAGTAAATATCGTCAGCACCCGCAGTCATTCAGGTACACAGCAGTGGCAGACACTCCCAGCCTCCTTCACGCCAAACTCAGCAACCAGATCACAAATGAGGTAAAATCTCCTGATGGCTTTAGAATGGGCTTTTAAAAAACTGCTAGACTGTTAAAAATATGTGTGACTATTTCTGGGTGGGGGGAAGCACGGGTGTGTGCTTGGACGGTTGAAAAGAAAAGAATGTTATTATGTGGAGCCTAAACATTTTTCCAGAAGGAAAGAAGACCTGGGTGGAAATCTGGTTTAGTCTATAGTCTTCCCCCATCAAATGCAAATGCGGTCACAGACCAGCAGTGCCAGCATCTCCTGGGAGCCTGTTAGAAATGCCGAACCTCAGGACCCACCTTGGACCCATTGAACCCACACGATCTTTTAACAAGATGCTCATGTGTTTCCTTTGCACATTACAGTTTGAGAAGTACTGGTCTGTCATTCAGTCATTCTTTCTAGGCAAATATTGGTGAACCACTTTTATGTTGTCATCCAGTGATGAGCAGATGGAAGATGTGTGTTTATTCAAGGAAGTTATATGTGTGGCATTTGTCAGACTTCTGGACTTTCTCTCTTCTCTTCTCTTCTCCCTCATCGTTTACCCAGTTCACACTTCAATAGAGAGGGAGGGAATCTCATTCATCAAATCACTGTCCCGGTCCTGTTGGTTCTGCTTCTTAGTGGCTCTTACAGGTTTGAAATAGAAAGTGAGCTCTTCGCAGAGAGTTGAATTAGAAGGCAGTTGAGATTTGGCTCTTTATATGATTAGCTGCCACTCTCACCCAAGTCAAAAACTAAGAAACAGCAGCTTGGGATAAGAAAGTCCAAAGGGCTGTGTAATGACATTATCAATTTTAAATTCCTATGGAGCCTTCCCTGCCTGCTTTGTGAGCTGACTGCCTCTTAGGATGGCCTCTGGTCTCGGGGAGCGCAGCAACCACAGACCCAGTTCTGATCATGAGAAAAAGTGCCTTCATACTGCGTGAGTCCATCCAGGGCAGTGTTGGGACTTGCTCTCCCACGGAAGGAGCCCCGGGCTTTAGTAAAGGATGTAAACCAAGATTTGGGAACCTCCCATTCACCAGGCAGAGCCTCCCCTAAGTCTCTCAGATCTTATTATTGTCTTTACACTGTGTCCTCAGGAAAAAGTTGATGGTGGAAAGAAGTTGGTAGTGTTCTGAAATGTATTTTTCTTTCCTCAGCTTATTATTGAGCAAAGGGTAGGGGAGGAAAAAAAATACCTTTTCCAGGACCCATCTTAGGTTATTAGCTGGGGTTCTGTAACAAAAGACAAATTAAAAACAAAAAGAGCACACAACTTTATTTAATAGAAGCTCTACGTGAAACAGGCACTTTCATAAGAAAATGAAGAGCAAAATAAACAGTAAGTCTGAACCTTTTTATACTAGGTGTGTTGAGGAGTATAAAGTCACAGAAATGTGCTAGGACAAAAGAAGTAAGCTAAGTGTAGTAAAAGGGGCGGTGTGGTGGTGGTGGTGGTGGGGATCCAGCAAGGTCTGTTTGTTACGACTCCCTCTGCATCCCTTGGTCTTTGGAGATAGGATGCGCTTTTCCTCCAGGTAGAGGGAGGGCACCTCTCCATGGAAGACCTTGCGACTTGCTTCAGGAGAAAAGGTGAGAGAGTTCTTCCAGCACCTGCCATTTCTCAAATTCCTTCAGCTTAAAATATTCAATGTGCCTAGGTGCCATCTTTTGGGGTAACATGTTCCAAACCCTGACAAAAGGAACTTGCAATTTCTTAGGTATGTAGTCCTTTTATAGTACTCAGTTTGACTCATCAAAGACTGTCTTTCTGGAAAGAAACATCCCTGAGGCTGAAGGTGTATCCGTGACACAGTGAATGGCCTTTTAAAATCTCTCTCTCAGTTGTAAACGAGGGACCTCCATGCACTCACTCACTCACCTTCTGGCTTTTTCTTTTCTCTTGCTTTGCCCAGCGCCTCTATAAAGCAGCTGGAGAGGACGCGAGACACCAGTACACCACGACCGTGGGTCTGCCTGAGTTTGTCCGAGCGAAAGCAAACGCGGCCAATCTGAGTGACGTAAGCCTTTCCTGTTGCTGCGGTTCCGCGTGCTCCAAAGCCACGTGGACCCGTGTCTGTGATGGGGTCTCACAGTGACCCTTCTGGTGGTCATGTAGACTTTTAGAAAAGTGTCTTCGAGATGCTCAGGTTAAATACACCTTTTCATAAATGTATCGAGGACACATATACCAGAGCCCATGATGGTGTGTGTGCTAATGAGATACTCTTTGCAAGATAGAAATTTTTTGCTTGTCAGGAATTGATTCTGGAACAATGTACTACAAATGAAAGGGTTAGCTGACAGTACATGTTGGCTGATTCATGTAATTTTTTTTTTTAAAGATCTACATATGTTCCTACTGTAGGCAAAATACAAGGAGTCTTGGCGTAATCTCCGTGCTCAAGGCTACAAGCTGACAATAGACGCTCTCCCCTTCCAGGCTGCTCGGGTCTCTGGAGATATAGCCAGTGATGTGAGTTGAATGATATGACCTTCCATCTTGCCTAATTTCTGTTAACTTCATGTAAAACCATGTCTGCAGCTGATTTTCTTGAATTAAAGCAAATCTGTCATCATGTGAGACACGATGTCACCTGCAGAATATATTAGTTATGAATGAGGTTCTTTGGATGGAGGGAGGGAAAGAAAAGGCTGTATGAATCAGAAGCTAAATTCAGGCCAAGGGCTCAAGCAGCCGGGAGATTATGATTTATTACTAATTGCAATGTCTAGGCAGTGATCCCTCTGCAGTGTGTGAACTAGCTTTTTTCTAATTCCACCCAAAACTATACAGACAACTCAGCCAAAATTGTAATACAGCCATAACACATCTCCCTCTCAGCTCTCTGTCGTTTTCACACGTTGGCATTAGGATTTGCCAGCTATGTCCCAGCCACTCTGTTGATAGCATCCATAGCTTTGGGATGTGAAGGTGACTTTTTCTTTCCCATGAACAAATCCTAGAAAATGTGAACTTCAAATAAATAGATCCTGTCTTTTGGGTTCCAAATGTGAACGGAGGAAGCACAAGTTTCTCTTTTACCCTTTCTGATAAATTCCTTTTAGCCACAGGACCTGTAAGGGAGTGGGGCCCTTACTTAGATTTTGAGGATCTGGTTTTAATTAGGTAGAAAGAATGTAGCAATGTTTTGATTGTTCATCCCCCAGGGAGGAAGATTGCTCTCCGGCCAACCTCACTGTGCTCTTTCTTATAATCATCACCTCTTAGTGTAAGAACAGGTGATTTTTCTAGGGTTTGCAATGAAAATGCACAGGTGGAATTGAAGCAGGTGCAATGCCAGCTCCTGACTGGCTTGTCCTCCCTTCCAGTTTCTCTACAGACATGACTTTGTGAAGGAACGAGGGAGGCTGATTGGGGCCCGGAGTGTGAGCGATGACCCCCGGCTCCAGCACTGTCGGCGGGTGGGCCAGCTGCAGAGCGAGCATCAGTACAGGAGGGAGGCAGCGAGCAGCCAAGCCCAGTGCCACCTGCCCATGGACATGGTGCACCTGGTCCATGCCAGGAAGGCCCAGGCCCTGGCCAGTGATCACAACTACAGGACGCGGTGCCACGAGTTCACAGCGCTGCCCGAGGACCTGAAGATGGCCTGGGCCAGGAAAGCTCATGCCCTGCAGAGTGAGGTAGGAGGGCCCTTGTGGGTCACACACCAGCCCCGACCTTCCTCCTCACATCAAGCCTGGGAAATCTGCTTCCTTAGCCTTTTGGACCCTTACCTCCCACCCCAAAAAAAGACTTGTTCAATTTATGTCATATAGATTAGAATCATTCAACAGATTTTATTGATCAGCTACTATGTACCAGACACCATTCCAGGCCCTGGGGATACAGCAGTCAACAAGAATCAAAAAAGTCCTATGCTCATGGAGCTTCCATTGTATGGGAGGGAGATAAAGTATGTTAAGTAATATATATATATAGTACATCAGGTGGGGATGCATGCTATGGAAACAGACAAAGCCAAGATGTGGGGTAGGAGGGTGTGAACGTGTGTATGTACCTGCACATGTGTACATTAAAATAGGGGGTCAGGGTAGTTCCCACTGAAATGGTGACATGTGAGCAAAGACCAGAGTGGGTAAGGGCAGAGGATAGAGCACTCCAGCAAAGAGAACAGACAATTCAAAGGCCAAGACCCTGAGCTGGAGAAGCCTCTGCATTTGTGAGGCCAGAGAGCAGCAGGTGGGTGAGTGAGGAGGGCGAGGTCAGGGAGGGAGTCCCAGAGACAGCAGGGGCTGCACAGCAGGTGATGGGGATGGCGGGAGGAGAGCCATGAAGCACAGCTGACACCTGCAACTGCTTGCCCTCCTGTCACCCTTGCTACAGCACTATCAGGTGGGGACAGGTGTTGCTCTTTTACAAATGAGGTCACATGGGAGTGGCCAAGGCAGGACTGCTCCAGAACCCACACCCTCGTGCATCCTGCTCTCTGGGCAGGTGGCAGCTCAGTGCAGGGGAGTCATGCTTCCTACAGTGCAGGTGTAGACACCGGATATAGAAAGGAGAGCACCCCCCAGTCCCAAAGGCACCAACCCCTCCCACATGGTGGAAGGTTCTGGGGTCAGCTGCTCTGGAGTCAGCCCTATGCCTTCTCTGGGCCTCACTTTTCTCGGCTGGACACGGTCAGATGATAGTGTGGTCATGGTCAGCACTGCAGAGCACACAGTGCGTGGCCAAGAGGCAGGCACACATTGTCTCTTTAAGCCCCAGGAAGAAGGCACTCATTTTAGACCATAACCAGTGGGACTGTTGTCACGTAACCCTACCATCAGTATCAGGGTTTCTCCACACGAGCTCCTTGGATGTTTTGGGCAGGATAATCCTTTGTTGTGGGGCCTGTTTTGTGTATTGCCGCATCCCTGGCCTCTACCCATTAGATACCCATAGCTCCAACCTACCCCCAGTTGCTCTAAATACCCCCAAGATATTCTAAGTATTGCCAAATTTGCCTGGGGGGCAAAATTACAGCAGATTGAGAACCCAGTTCTCAGTTGAGCCCTTAGCACAGGGCTGGGTCCATAAGACCATCCAGTAAGTGTTAGCTGTTTTGATGATGTTCTCTATACCAAGCCTTTTCGGTTGCTTTCAGGGCAATGACTGCTCTTAGTTGAGCTTTATGGCACAGGCAGAGTATTATAGACACATAATTGATGACTAAGATGTAATAATGTAATGATTTAATGATCATCTAATTATCCGTCACAATTTGCTGGAATGGCAACATTGTGCTGTTCACCATCAAGTCAAGTATGGAGCAGGTGGACTCATTGGGCCCCACAGGGGATGTAGTTACTAAAGTGCCAGCCCAAGTTCCATCTGGAAAGGCCTCCCCTTACTAGAATGCCGTCCTGCAGCCCTCAAGGATAGCTCATAGAAATGACTCCAGTGCCAGTCAGGGCCCCTCTTGCCAATCGCCTATTCCTGGGGAGAAGAGAAACCTCTGGAACCAGGCAAGGCCCTGAAGAAGACCCAGAAGCTGCCTAGAGCAGGTGGGGACACTCAGCTGGGAGCCTGAAGATGTGCATTAGAAGCCCAGCTCTGTCACTTACTGGCTGTGTATCCCTGAGCAGCGCCTTCACTTTCTGGGCCTCCATTCACTCCATCAGAAAAACAAAAACAATTTGATCAGTGACCCCAGATTTAGGGGCTCATGGGAAAATAGTTTTTAAATGGTGGCATCAACATAATGTCAGATTTTTATTTTACTAAGGAAAAAGGAAAAAAACTAAACACTACCTCAAGCTATCATTTATGTCACTGCTATTTATGAAAAGAAAGGATATTTTAACACTAAAAATGGTAGGAAGAACAATCTAAGAAGAAGTATTCCAAGGAATGGTAGTTGACAATAGGCTGACATTTTATAAAATAAGACAGGTATTAAAATTTTGAATGCTGAGAAACTATTACCTAAATTTTAAATTATCATATTGTGTTTCATGTATTGTTTTTTGTTCATTTCAACTTTGTTCATTTAGGGGGTCTAGATTCTGAGATTCTGTGAACAGTAGACCTCACAATGTCCAACCTGGTTCTGAAGCTTCAGTTTTCTTGCAATCATTATGGAAAAATCCAATTTCATGTGGCTATCTTATGCAGAAAAGGAAACAAATGGGCAACATGAGTTCACTCAGTTCTGCAGAGGCTGTAGGAGGAAGAGTAGCCCCCTGCCTTCAGCCCCTTCTCCTGCCCTCTCCCACCCAGGCCAAAAGGAAAGCTGTGGGTCTGGCCAGAGGGAGCCAAGAGGTGCTCAGCCCTGGGGAGACGGTTCTCAAGGGCATGATTGCTCAAGTCAAGGAATGCTCCTGACACATGCTCTGTCCAGGCAATTCTCCACCATGAATGGCTGTGATCTTGCACAGGGGCAGGAGGAAGTACTAAAAAGCACAGGTAGGGACTGTCGGGGGACAGTCCTGGTCTCATCCTTTATAGCTTGTGACCTTGGGAAGACTCCTTAAGCTCTCTGGGCTTCAGCTTCCCCATTAGAAATAACAGTGATGACAATAACAATTGCTAAAATGCATGGGATGTTTACTCTGGGCCAGGCATCTGTTTAAATATTTTGCACGACTATCTCATTTAGTATCTAGACAGGTACTGGTATTACTTGCAATTTTACAGATGCAGCAATATTAAGTAATTTGCCAGGATCCCAAGCTGGCAGGGAAATGACTTGCTCAAGATCAAACAGCGAATAAGGGGCAAAGACCAAGCAATGGTCTCCTGGCTCCTGGTTCAGTGCCCCCTGGTGGCTTGATTAGAAACCCAGGTGCTTTCTTAGTGCTACGTGTGTATTACGCCCAGACGACAGCAACTGATGGCTCCTCCAAGTTCTAAACAATCATTGAAACTCCAAAATTGCTCTGTAATGGGTAGAAGAAGCCCTCTGTTGCAGGATGGTGTGAGGACTGAGTGAGATCATGAGTCTAAAGCAAAATACATGCTATGTAAGGCAATGATTATAAAGTCTTATTAATATAATAAATATACTCCTTACCCACAGCCACCTCCCAGGTACAGTTGTTTATGTCCTACCTGTTGGAATCAGGGACCAAAATGTGCAGCTTGTACATTTGTAATGCAGTGCTCCAAAATATGGGAGCTGGGAAACCCCATAGGTGGATTTGAAGGTGTCAGCCAGGCCTTAATATGTGCAAGAGAAAAAAAAATAGAGACTGCCGTTTGGAGAAGAATTTAGTTGGGCAGCATGAGAAGATGTCTTATTATCTCCGACTCTGTCTTGGAAACCATCTTTGGGCAGCTGATTCTTCTCGACTTCCTTCCCCTCCTCCCCTCTCCCATCACCAAGTCTGGGGCAGGCGTGTTGTTTTTAGGTTCTATGTGAATAGTCAGAGCTGGGCTGGGAGCTGAAATATCAATAGACAATCCATTTATAAGAGAGTCAGAGGCACAGTCAGATCTTTGGGGAACCTGCATCTTGCCTTCTGACTTACCTGCGATTGTACTGTTCAGCTCAACAAAAGGCAAGTTGAAAGAGTGCTCCCCACTTCATCTTGCTTATGAAAGGAGCAGGGCCTGGCTGTGAAGAGGCCCTGTAGGATTATTCTCTCTAACTTAGAAATTTATCCAATTTTCTCTGTTCTTTATCAGAGTGGAAGGCAAACGCTTTGCCGGTGTAGACTAAAGATCGCCGTATAAAAAGCAATCTTACTGACATGGGGTTTTGAAACCTGCTCCTGAACCTGAGTGATGTCTCCCTTCACCAGTTGGAAAGCAGAGTTGAATTTGCACAGGGGCATTAACCAGCAGACAGTAGATCAGAAAGGGGCCCTCTTTGAGGCCAGCTGTGAGCAATGCTGTGAATCCCAAAATGAAAGAAAACTAAAAAGGACGAAAGCCTGACATCTGGAGTGATATTTTGCGTTACAGCAGAGCTTATATCTAAATTAGACAAATGCCATCAGCTTCATTTAAATCCGAATTTCAGATTTCCTTAGAGAGGCTTTTTCCACCTTTAAAAATACCTAATTTCCATAAAGGGAGCAAGAAAAGCATTCATGCGACTATCTCATCCTAGGAAATGGGCAGACAGAGGAATAGTAATAAGATTTAATGTTTTAGGAGACTACTAATCAGGCCTGTTGGCTTAAAGCACCACTTATGATTTTTCTCCCAGGAATGATGCCATAGTTCTAATCTTCTGAGTCCTTAAAATGAAGAAAATGGACGACTTGGCCCATTTTTGCAATATAAGCAAATAATGAATGATAGGAGGAGGAGTGGGCAAACCTAGGCGCAAAAATATTAAAATGGCTTATATACTCTTACTTAGATGGTGGCATCAAAGTTTGCTCCAGTTTCTGGAGTCCTGCTATAATTACCTCCCCCTCTCTCAGCTGCCACAAGACAAAAACAATTCTAACGTATAGAGTGGCTTTTGCTCCTGAGCGCTGTCAGTTATTTTCATAGGAACAGAGGGTTGTTATGACCTTCAGGTATCAATAGAGAGAAACTGAGTCACGTTTGGTAAAGTAATTTGCTTTGGGTCCCAGCAGGCTTGATCCAGAGCTCAAAGTCCTTTCATCAGTTGAAAGTGTATAAGATGTTTCTATTTAGGCAGGCAGGTGATCACCTCACTGCCAAATTGTAACAAGGTAATCAGGGCTGATGCTTGGGCTCAGGCATATTTCTCAGCTCTTTCTTAAGTTGATCCTCTGCAGAGGTCATTACCTTCTGCCTGAAATCCTGCCAATTCACTGGTGGGGCCTTCTTGTATCTTATGCATGATCCATTATTCAATTTTTGGCAGAGTGCACAAATTCAAACAGTTTGACTTAATGGCATGCAGAAGACGTCCAAATGAAGGTGTTGAAATGTTGTGATGAGGCATTATTACAAGTGTGATTACAAATCAAAGATCTTTTTGAAATGCTCTGACAGCCTTAGAGACTCTTCTGATAAAAGCCAATGATTCTTTTCCTGCAGTTGCGCTACAAATCAGACCTGATGGGCATGAAGGGGACAGCGTGGCTGGCACTGAGTTCCCCACAGATTGAGAATGCAAAGAAGGCTGGAGAACTCATCAGTGAGGTACTGTTAACATGACTCTACCATAAATACAACCAGCATTTATTTTCCCTTGAAGAGGAAACCTGCTCATGCAGTAGAGAGGACCAAGAGGGCCCCAGGGTCACTGGACTCCCAGTGTTTTTCCAGGGACATTTGCAACCAAATCCCATGACAGACCAAGATTTCCCTCCAAATGAACACACATGCTGGGGAGTCAAAGGCATGTTCCAAATCAGACAGTGAAAGAGGGATGATGCATTAGAAGATTCTCAAGAGAAACATCATATACAATTACGATCTAAACTGGCCCATTAATGGGGAGTGTGTGGAATTTGCCACCTACCTACTGAGTTTACTCGGAGTGTCCAGAACCCAGGGGTTAGCTGCTTTCTGATGCTGTTAAAAGTTGCACAAGAGTCATTACATTTACTGAGCTCCCCACGGTATTGATGGGAATTCTTACCCTGGAATCTCCTCTAGGAGATCCTCTGGCCTTCTTCAGTTTCTTAATAGCAGAACTTACTTGGACAAGGTCTGAGCAGGGCCACACTGATGCCGAATCCTTCCCTCTGCTCAATTCCTCTGTTGTGGTGGTGAGCTATGGTATTTTGCAGCCTCTTTTTTCAAGAAAGCAAATACCTATAAAATCATCCTTATCACAGAGGCAGCTTGGATCTCTTCTGTGCTCTTGTTAGGTGCCCACCAAGAAGAGAGACTTGTTTTCCAATAATGTCATTGGTATCTTTGGTACTAGCTAGGTGGGGGGAAGCTGCATCCAGAAAAATGCATGGTGTTGGACTCTTCCTTGGGGAATTTTTGTCTTCCTCTTACAGACCAAATACCGTAAAAAACCGGACAGTATCAAGTTCACCACAGTGGTTGACTCCCCGGACCTGCTTCATGCCAAGAACAGCTACATGCATTGCAGTGAGGTGAGTGTTTTGTCATTGCTCATCCCAGGTGTCCAGTAGTGGGGAATGCCTCCCAGTGGTCAGTGCTTAGGAGTATGGGCTCTGGAGAGATGTGAGTGCAAACCTTCCATTACCTGGGTCTTCCTGGGCTACTTTGTCTCTTCTGACCCCCATTCCCTTCAAAGGAGGGGAATGATCGTACCATTTCATAAGATCAAGTGAATTAAAACAAGGATTATGTAAATAAAAATCCTTGAAGCTCTTAGCAAGTATCTAGAACAAAGTAAGTCCTCAATAAATGTCTGTATGGTTTGATTTGTAATCATAACAATAATACTAAGTATCATTGATGATCCTTTGCCAAACACTACATCAGATACCTTGTAATTATTGATATATGGTGATGGAATTAAAAGCTGAACATAGCCCAGTTAGAAAAAAAGAAAAGGACAGCTATATGCAAAACTTCTTTCTGCTTTTACTCTATGATTTATTCCAGTTTCTTCTCTCCTGTATTTATTTCAAAGATAAGGAAGTTAAATATGTTTTTTCTCTGAAATTGTCAAGGGATTCGATTTCACACACATGTAACAAAGCTGGCCTGTCCTTCCACAGAGTCCAAATGTTGTACTGACTCAGTCACATTTGCAAAGCCCAAATTGAATTTGGGGAAGGACCAGAATATTAAATCCTATATTTGCTTCTCTAAAAATAGATGAGATTCAATCACTTCCTAAAATTGTTTGCAATGCTCAGATCACTGCTCTAAAATAGCAACTAAGATTAAGCTTGAGTTTTAAAATTGTATCTTCCTGGGACCCTGATGGACTTCGAAAACTTTAATTCTCTGAACACACTTTAAGGCATCATATGATAAAAAAAGATGTGTTCGCTCTTGCGTCTTTTCATAATGTTAAAGTTAAGCCACAAAGGCATGAAGGCATCTGGTTACTAGTAAAAAGTTTGAACAACGGTCAATTGCAAAGACTCTGAAGTGTCCACTCACTTATACTGTTTGTAAAACACACATACGGCCAACCAGGATGTTGATATGCTGCTCATCTGGAGCGGATCTTGATGAATTTTTTGAACAGGGTCTATTTTAAAACCAGCCAAGCCCACCTGACCCTGGGCACACGGGCCCCTCCATGAGTGCTTTTTGGCGGGGGGGTGCTGTCCGTGTGTAGGGCTGGGTTCTGCTCCCACGGTGGCACTTGGGTGGGAGGGGCAGCTTGCTTTTCACCTGCAGTTTCAGCAAGGGCAGCTCTTTGTTTACTGAGATCCTGTCTTACCCACAGCGCCTGTACAGGTTGGGGGATGCGGAATCCCTACATAGATACACCCTGGTCCCTGACCACCCTGATTTCACCCGAGCCCGCCTCAACGCGCTGCATCTCAGTGATGTAAGTGAACCGCAGGTCATGTGCTGTATGCCTCATTTCTGTGAAGTTATCTGTGCCCAGGCTGGCTTTTATTTTATGTTTAAAAAAAAAAACAGTCTTAGGAAGGAGGACTTGAAACATAAAGAACACTGGACTGAGAATGGGACAAACTGCATGTGCGACTTCGAGTCACTTTCCTTGCTGGGCCTCAGTTTCCTCAGCTGTGAAATGGGGATGAAGCTAGGCTAACTGACACCTGTGGTTCCTTCCAGCTCTACAATTCTGATTCTGGGCATGGCTCCAAAGAGCTCTGTCATCAGAGGCACAGTCCCCTGGCCATGGCAGCTGCAGACCCCTGCTCTGTGTGTTCCCTGGGCACCTCTCAGCCGTTCAGAGCAGCAGAACTTTGGAGACGGAGTGTGCCTCCTCGCTCTACAGTTTGGAAAGACGCCGTGATTGTAGTGCATCGGGTCCGAAAGCAATCCGCTCCTTTGTGTGTGAGGCTATGGCCTCCAACACTTTAGTTTCCCTTGGATGTGTGCCCTTTGCGTGCATAACCAAGATGCTGTTTCCTAAACCCACGCTTGTTGTTAGCAGGGGTTGGAGGCCCCTGGTTGTAATAGAATAGGCAGCTGCTTGGCCAGCAAGGCTGTGATCCTGGGATAACAGGTAGCAAGGCGGCAGAATCAAAAGACGCTGTCAGATCAGAATAACACAGGCTGAGTGTGTCGGCCCGGGGCAGCGTAGGGCCTCCCAGAGTCCAGCCATTCTTCCCTCCCTGGTCTGGCCATTGTGTCCTGGGGCTCCGTGCAGATCAACAGCTGCTACCGCTCACCCCAGAGGTGGCTGCCTTGCGGGGGTTGGCGAGAAGTGCCTTCTAGTTAGCGTGTGTATTAGTTTGTTGCATTTGTAAAGCCCTGTGGGATCCCATGCAGTGAATGCGATGGCGCTTTGTAAATATGAGTTATTATGACCATTTGATGCTTTTGAGGGATGTACGAGGGATAATTTTAGAACAGCAGCTCTGGTGGGCTGACCTCCATCTGGGGAAGTGGGGCCTCCCCCCCAGCAGAGCTCCGACAGAACATCCATCATGTTAGTGCTTCACGGATTGGGGAAGGCAGGGCCTCCATCTGAGGAATATTGGAGGCCCATAGCCCTGGACCCTGGGGTAAAACTGCCAGTCCATTGGGGGCCCAGCGTAAGGAGGACAGCCGCCCCAGGTTGGTGACAAAGCATCTTTCCTCTCACAAGTCTGTAGAGTCCAGGAGCTGAAATTAGCCGCCAGGGCATGCGGATATGGAGAACTGATGAACCTCCTTTGAAAGAGCACTTCTTCGGGGGCGTGTAGAATACGCACAATTGGATCAAGTGCTCTGTGAGGAAGATGTGGAGGGAAAGTGACCTTCCTGGGCAAAGAAAGCCATTGAGATGTGTAAGGCAGCCGAAATAACTAAAAATCAAATGACTCTAATGTGTGAGGATGAGGACAAAACTGTGCCCACTGTGATAAAGAAGAGGAGCACCCCGGGTCCCAGATCAAAGAGCCTATGGAATCTAAAGACTCCCAGTGGCAAAGCAAAAAACCTCAACAGAATATAAAAACTCAGGGAGGAAGTGATGACAATCAAGCAAATAGTATACAGGGAGAAGTTACCAAGAGAAAGGGAGTCAGAGCCTTGGGAGAACCCCGATTTGGGCCATGTTCTCTAGGTGACCCTCAGTTGCAGAGACTTGGAAGCTGGGGTGCGTTGAACACCAAAGTGGGGGTGATGCTGAAGTTTGCTGCTGTGTACAGTTGTTACCGAGCCTGGCTCTTTTGGGGGGAAGTGCTGACGGTCTCCTTTCTAGGGAATGAAAAGAGTTTTGACTCCATTTGCTACTCTAATATTTTGGGGACCGCCAAATAGGATGCATCATGCTAAAGGGTTGGTTGATTATCTGAATGCGTTTCCCACCTTCTGCATTGCTCAGTCCCACCTGCTAAACTCAGTGGTGACCCAGTTAGCCTAATCCCTTGGGCCTGTGTGTGACCCATCAGTTAGGTGAGTACCCCAGTGATTGCTGGCTCTGTGTTTTTTTGTCCTTTGAACATAGGGGGTGTTTAGTATTTATCATGCTTTGTGGTGTTGGATGTTGGACTCGATGGCGAGGCTGAAGGTGAAGGTGCTGACAGACAGCAGTACCTAAAAATGATGAGGTCCACCAGGTTTGGCGCAAGCTTTACATGGCCCCTTGCGTTCCAGGCCCACTTGCAGAGGGCGTGAGGCACTTTGCTTTTTATCTGCCATTCCTCCTTTGCTAAATCCCCCAGTCTGCTGTAGAAGAGAGCTTTAGCCTTGACCTCTATTTCCAAGTGATAAAAATAAGGTTTTTAAGCCTCCCACCCCTGACCCCACCCTGGCCTGCTGGGGCTCTTGGAGTGAGTGAGTGACCAACCTGGTATGGGGCTGTCACTTTGTCATCTGCTGGTGATGTGTCTCACCTGCTGTCTCCCTTCTCGGTGGCTGAATAAAGGACAGCACTCCGCTGGGATCTCCAGATGGCTCCTTTCATGGTGCCATTCCCTTCTCTTAAAAAATATTATCAGCTCCATGAAGGCATGGGAGATTTTGATGCCTCTCTCGGTGATGTGGGTCTACCTGAGGTCTAAGAGGATGTGATTATAGACTCCCAGAGGGTGTGTGAGAACGGCTTGAAAAGGGAAAAAAATGAAAGAGGAAGATGTGAAATACATGGGTCAGGAAGTCGGTCAGGTTCTTGGCAATCAATTTAATTCAGGTGAAGGCTCTTCCTCACTGCAGGCACTGGGGGTGCACATGGGATGCGGCAGGCTTCAGAGTGGTGGTGTCACATGGCATCAGAGGTCGCTGAGGGACCCCTAGGAAGTCAGTGCAGCTAATGAACATGCGGGTGCCAGGACCCAAGGAACAGCACGCCCAGCATGTGGGAAGAAACAGGGTTCTCAAACTCTGAGTTCTGGCATCTGGAAGCTACAAACTTGAGGCACAGAAAGCGAATTCTGAAACAGGAAGGAGTGGGGCGGGGTGTCTGATGATACCAATGGGATGTAGCCAATGAGCCAGACCCACTGGCCCCAAAACCCCCAAGATGAGGGCCTCATGCTCAGGTTGGGGCTTAGAGCTGAAGCTCTCTGTGGTCAGCCCCACTAACCCCAGAGCCAGGGAGGTCCTCGGGAGGGAGGTGGAGCCATGGGTTCTGCTGTTCTGGGCACCAGCAAGGCAGAGGGGATGCGCTTAGGAACTGCTCCCACTGACAACCGGCAACATGCCAGACATGGAGTGATTCACTGCCTGCTCACTCACTTTGTTGTGTTCCCCTCTAGAAAGTCTACAGAAACTCTTGGGAACAGACCAGGGCTGGTGGCTACGACTTCAGACTGGATGCCATCCCATTCCAGACTGCCCGGGCGTCCCGGGAGATCGCCAGCAATGTAAGGCCTCCAGCTGTCTCTCTTTTCCTCTATCAGTGATGGGTTTTACTCTGGTTTTCCCAGTTCTGTTAAAAAGCAAACCACCAGGAGCCAAAACTGAACAAGTATTTCAAATGAAAGAAATAAATAGGCCTTATTTTCCAGAATCTTAGCCAGAAATTTGGAGTTAAGGAGGGTTGTATTCCTACTCTCTCTCTTCTAAGAGAGGCACTCTTAAAAACTGAGGTCTGTGTACCTATAAGTTAATTAACCTGTGACTGATTGTTCATTTGCAACAGAAGGACTTCTCTTAGCTGAAGTGCTGTGTGATGGGGCAGAGAGAGTTTGGGCTTTTCTCCTGGATTGGCTTGAGTTACATCCTGGCTCAGCCACTCTGGACTTGGTCCTGTGTTCCTGGGCAAGCTGCTTAATCCTCTGAACTCCAGCTTCTCCATTTGTGAAATAGGGATCAAATTCCTGTCTCATATGGTTGATATAGGAATGAAAACAAAATAGTTTATGGTGTCATGCGAATAACAAGTGTTCATAACATGGCAGCCATTATTATTAAAAAGTAAGGCATTATTGACTAGATACAAAATCATTCATGAATGGCTTGGTACTGGTCCACATGAGGCAAGTACAGAAATCAAGAGCAAACACTTAGAAACATTTTTAGCAGTTAGATAGTGTGACACCAAGGACTCATCTCGTTGAGCAGGGTGGAGACCAGTGTGTGTGTTATCAAATGCACGTGGTGCTACTACATACTAATCAGGTGGTAGGACCACACGGTGGACTTTGAGATTGGAAATTTAAAAAGTGAAAGGAAATGAACCTGGTTCTTCACCTAGTTGGTCTCAGGACCACTGGACTGGGTCCCTGACGGCTGGAAAGAATCAGAGGAAGAGAAGCTGCGAAGAGAGTGAGTGTACTTCTCTTCCTGCCAGATTGTTAATTATAGCAGCAATAGTACCAGTGCCCACTCACTGCTCAGTAACCGTGAACCTGTGTCAGATATGAAGCTTTGCACTGAATCCTCTCACTATCCCATGGGGTGGAGGTTCATTCTCCCATTTTGTCAGGTGGGGGTTCAGAGAGAGACTCAGTTATTGGCCCAAGGCCACACAGCTAAATAGCAGAGGGAGGTGCAGGTCCCAGGTCTACTTGAACCCAAACCTGTGCCCTTATGTTACTGTTGAGCTTCTTGCTGATAATCCTGTGGGCTGGACCTGGAGAGGAGGTGGGTGCCCATGAGCCTCTCTGCTCCTCTGACCTGCAGTTTCGGTACAAAGAGGCCTTCCTGCGGGACCGGGGCCTGCAGATCGGGTACCGCACTGTGGATGACGACCCAAGGATGAAGCATTTCCTCAGTGTCGGCAAACTCCAGAGTGACAATGAGTACAGGAAGGACTTCGCCAAGAGTCGGTCCCAGTTCCACAGCCGCCCAGACCAGCCCGGCTTCCTCCACGCCAAGAGGAGCCAGCAGCTGGCCAGCGACGTGTGCTACAGGCAGCGCCTGCCCCAGCCCACCTGTGACCCGGAGCAGCTGGGCCTGAAGCACGCACGGAAGGCCCACCAGCTGCAGAGTGATGTGAGTTGCCCCTGTCCACCTGGCCACAGGCCTTCCTCTGGTGCCCCATCATAAGAGAAGGTGGTCCCACATTCCACATGCCTTCTGTAGGAGCTGGACTGAGTAGAAGCCAGGGGACCTGACACTGTAGTGCCAGAAGGAGTAACAGTAATTGGCAGCTTATTGAGTCCTTCCCATGGGCCCGATGCTTTGCAAGCACTGCCGTGTAGCTCTCATGACTGCCCCACATTACAGAGGAGGAACCCGAGGCTCAGGGTAGGTACTGCTCAGTACTACTAGGGTATATTATTACTCAGGTTAAGTAACTACTCAAGATCACTCAGCAAATATGGGGCAGACTGGGGCTATGAACCCCGTTCGGTTCATGTGAGAGCCCGAGCTCTTGACTGCTATGCCAAACTATTGCCAAGGGTCTTAGTAGTCACCTCCCCCAGCCCCACATTTCCTCTGGGAGGGAACCGAAGCCCAGAGAAGGGAAATTACTTCCCTAAGGCCACAGAGCAAGTTCAGGTTGAACCAGGTCTCCCCGCCCTCCGCTCCCCCCCGCCGCCCCCCCCACTGCAGCTTCCATCACTGGACAGGAAAGATGCAGGAAACAGTGCTATTCTGGCCAGTTCACAGCACACTGAGTCCTCAGTGCCAGGGAGCTCCTGCTTAAGATGTTTGCCCCCCTTGCTTTACTGAAAGCATATTCTCCATCACACGGCAGCCTTTTGAAGCCTATCCCCTCTGTGCTCAAACCACCCCAAGCCCTGCTGACGTATTCCTCTGGTTTCCCTCCTTCCCCAAGGTCAAGTACAAATCAGACCTGAACCTGACCAGAGGTATTGGTTGGACACCTCCTGGGTCCTACAAAGTGGAAATGGCTCGGCGGGCTGCAGAACTGGCCCACAGGAGGGGCCTGGGCCTCCAGGGTGCTTATGTGAGTAGAAGCTACAAACCCGCCCCAGCTTGCAAGGCTGTGAGGAAAGGCAAACTCAACTGTTTCTTTTCAAACTTTATTTTTGGCCAAAGGTCAGCTAGCTCTAAAGAAGTGTGAAATGCAGTGCCTAATTCCATGGCTCTGAGGTGACCAGGCAGTTGATACCTGGGTTAAATTCCTGCAGGGTTTTCTCTGAAGTCACAGCTATTAGCTCTGCAGAGACAAACCCACTGGGCCCACGTGAGTCCCAGGCCCCAGCAGCCCAGGCCGTGCTGACTGCTCACTTTTTACATTTGTGGAAAGGGTCAGGGACTTGCTGGCTGCAACAGTCTGGGTTTTGAACCCTACTTTGTTCAGAAGGGAGGCATCATGTCTAAATGAGAGATGGGCTTTGCTTCTTTCTCGTTCTTGCCTTGAGGATCCTTTTTTCTTGAGGCAGGTGAAGCCGGGGAGAAGGAAGGGGAAGGTGAACATTTAAATGCTTCCAGGGCATCCTAGGCAGCATGCCCTGTGGGAGCAGGGTGGGAGCTTCATTTTAACACAGGAAGGTGTTTGATTTCTGCAGGGGGGGCCAGAAGCTGTGGAGACTGAAGATAATCAGAGGGGGGATGTGAACCCAGATGCCACTGAGATTCTGCATTTCAAAAGGAGGAAGGCTGTGCCGTGGTGAGTGAGCAGTGTCTACCCAGGATTCTTGGGACAGGACCTGGAAAGGAAATTTGTGCACCAGAGACACATTTAGATGGCTTCTGTCTGGGCGAGCTGTAAAAATAGCGCACCAGCCCATTCCCTCATCTGCCTTTATTAAAATAGTGACTCTCTGAAAGCGGTTGTAGTTTGCGTCCTCTGTCTGATACCTGGAAGTGGATGGCTGGTCCTGTTGTGTACCCTGAGTGTTTGAGATGAGGAATAAAGATGTAAACGTGACTCCCACCAATGCTGGGTATTCTGAAATCCTGCATTTGCAAGTGTCCGAGGTAGAAGCACTCTGTGAACACTGATTTTCTAGAAGGTACAGTTGTTTGAAGGGAAGCAAACATAATGTGTCCCAGGTTGATTCTCTCATTTCTCGAGTCACCCAGGAAGCACCCTGATGAAATGCTGGAAGCACTGGTCCAGGACACCCCAGGCCGGGTGGCATTTGCCTATGCACGGACAATTCACGTCGGGCTTCCTGGAGGCTCCCGGGGGGAATCCATCGCTGCCGTGAGGAGGGTGGGCCTGAGGTTCGGAAGATGCCTTAGAAGCCAGCCTCCCTTTGGATGGTGGCTTTGATCCAATTCAGGAATTTGGTGACTTGGGTGTAGACCCCAGGCTTCTTCCCACATTCCAGGCCCCAGCTCACTATCCCGTAGACATAGTGGGTGCCATCCCTCTCACAGGTCAGAGGGCCCCCAGAGTCACCCTGAGGGAAAAAGACACGAGTTCAGCTTTGTGAATCAGAAAACATTCAGGGGCAACCCCACCTTCCATGAGGGGACACCAGGGAGCGGCGGGGTACGATACTGGCCAGCCAGCTTGGGCTTCTCTGAAAGTGGTGACAAGGGTCTTCTTGGGTCTCATATGATGCAAAGCTCTGAAGGGAGAGAAGCACACACCACCCTATGACCCTGAGTTCCCGAGGGCTTGGTGGAGGAGCCACAGGGCCATGGCGCCTACTTCCACTCTTAGTCGTGATTCTCAGTTACACGGGTATCACTCCTGTGAGTTCTCGGGTCCCTAGCTTGTCATTCCAGCAGGGGCCTGGGGCTGGTGCCGCTTGATACAGCTCTGCCAGGCCCTGCAGGGCACACACAGGCTGGGGCGGACAGGCTCGGAGGTAGCATGGCCTGGACGTGCAACTTGGTCTGTAGCATTAGATCTGGGCTTCCAACCAAACTTACTGTCTGCTAGCCACCTGAGCCTCAGCTTCTCCCATTGTAAGCTGTGGTGAGCAAAAGAACCCCTGCCTCCTCCCTGGGTTCTTGTGAGGATTAGTGTTTGTAAAGTACACAGAACACTGTGTGGTTCATGTGAAGCCCCCAGTTAAGCTGGGGAGGAGGAGGATGGTGAGGAGAGCAGTTAGGATCATAGCTTACATACTACAGCGGATAGGATTTTCAGTGAATTACCTCTTTTAATCTTAGCCACAACTTTATGACCTTGTGGAGATGCTATTTCTGTTTTTATATATTAGGCACCTGAGATTGGAGAATTATTTTGGTGCAGTGGACTGGATATTTGTGTCTCCCAAATTCATGTGTTGTAGCTTAGTCCCCAGTGTGATTGTATTAGAAAATGAGTCCTTTGGTGGGTGATTAGGTCATGAGGCTGGAGACTTCCTGCATGCGATTAGTGCCCTTATAAAAGGGACTCCAGAGAGCAGCTCTCTCTTTGCACCATAGGAGAATATGAAGTTTTCAGTCTGCAACTCACCAGAACCCAACTGTGCTTGCACCCTGATCTCAGACCTCCAGCTTCCAAAACTCTGAGAAGTTCCTATTGTTTAAGCTACTCAGTCTATGGTGATTTATTATAGCAGCGCAAACTAACTAAGCCATTCAGTGATGGGTAAATTCACACAGTAAGTGATGGAACCAGGTTTCAAATCCAGAGTGTCTGTTTCCAAAGCCTTGAGGTATCTAAGGAAGGAACAATCTGTTTTCTTTCTCATCTTCCAGGAGATCAGGGCAGATCACGCCCATCTGCCCATGCCCCTCCTTTGGGTAGGTGGATATCTGCGCCCTCTTGGGAAGGGACAGAGGATCGCAGTAGAACCACAAACCCACAGGGAGAGTGAGCAGGATTTCCCGTCCCAAGTGGATTCAAGGCTGGCGGATCGCTGCTGTCTCTGTAAGGAGGAGCTGTAGGGTTTGAATGCGTCTGTTCTAGGGTTTCTAGTGCAGTTGAGTGGTTTATGAGGACAACAGGCAGAACATTCTAAATTTAGGTGTTCCTGAGTCTAGAAGGACATTTCCTGTGTGATGTGACCCCCTACAGAGAGGGGGACTATGGGGAGTAGGCTTTGACATGGGCCAAGAGTCTGAGGTTGCCTCAGCACAGCAGATGGGCTCACCACCATCTCCCACTCCAGCAGCCGCTGAGTCACCACAGGCTTCACTAGCCTGGAGTCCCAAGTCCTAGACTGGGGTATGTCAGGCTCTAGGTTGGCTGTGACCACAGAGGAGCCACTTAGACACTTTAGTTTCCTAGGTCTAAATCATTCTCTCTGTCTTTCTCTCTCATACACAAGCCCATTTAAATCCTAACGATCAGTTAATATTATTGAAAATTCTCTGGGCTTCTCCCCTCTTCTACCCACTGGTCTTTTGGAAGTTTCCCTGCTTATTGGGATTTGCAGACCTGGTGCCCAGCACTAAGGCCAGAAGCACCGTCTTCATACTTAAACACAGTGGAGCAAGTTCCTGCTCTGCCACTTACCATCCAGGGGCTATGGGCCAAGATGATCTCTAAGCCTCTGTACAATGGAGGTGATGGCATTTCCCTTCACCAGAGTGTCATGAGAATTAAATAAAATAGTACTGCAGGCAAAGTGACACCATGGGTATACTGCTGAGTTATCCTGGGTTGTGTGGATCCAAATTTGCCGGAGGACAGACATGCCCACCTGTGCCTTAGCTTTATGGTAGGTAAGCTTCTGAAGCACCTCCCATCCCAGGACTCTATAAGGGGCCTCTGTGCCCAAGTGTAAGGTCCTGCCAGCCTCTCCTTCTCCAAGTGCCATTAGGAGTGTCTGACCTGGCAGGAGTCTTGCCCAGGCTTCTGAAGGTTTCCAGCACAAATCATGCTGTCATCAATCATGTGGTCATAGAGTCGTCGGGAGTTGCACACGCCATTGGTGATCAGCCTGACTTTGGCATCCAGGAGCTGGCGGGACCCTTCCCCTGGGGGGTACAGAAAAGAGGTAAGGACCAGAGTGGCACATAGACAACCAGATGCCAGCAGTGGTAAGAAGAGGGCCAGCAACTCTGAGCTTAGGAAGAGTTTTTCTGGGAGATGGGTAGAGAAGCCTCATCTTTCAAGGCTGGGGGCTCCTTGCCTTCAGCCTTCACCGTGGTTTACAGATCTTGGTGCTGTGCCTGTCACAATCAGCAGAATCACTTATTCCCTCCTCTGCCTCCTCAACTAGAGCGTGAGGTCAGGAGGGTAGTGATGGTGTCCTAAACCCTTTTGCAATTTTTCATGCCTGGTAGAAGGCTGGCACAGAGTGAATTCTTCACGATGGTCCCTCCAGCTCCTGGATGCCACGTCATCTACATAACGTGCCTCCTGGAGAAGACATTCCCTCTCTTAAAGAGCCACTATTCTGCTCAATCTGCTGTGGTCAACAGGGTGATGTTGAATGTTTTGGCTGGACTGCAACAAAGACAACAACAAGAAGGGTTTTCTGGTTAACCTGAATCCAGGTAGCCAGAAATCTTTTCCCAAAAGCTTCTTACAAATTTGTGTATTACATTACACCTTCTTATGTGATTCTTGCTTTCCATGATTAAGGACAGGATTTCAAGGGAAGAGAAATATATGTTGAGTATTTGAGAAAGATATGAAATATACCTCTGACTTTTGTACACTAGAGGAAATATATAAGCTCACCATGAGGAAAGTACTGTGAGGAAAGTAACCCTTTGGTTATTTTTTTTTTTAGCTAAGACCATATTCTAGAGACAAACCACAATCTTGATTTAACCACATTTTATAGGACACTACTATGAGGAGAGCCTCCCCCCCGCAAAGCATTTTGGGGGATACAAAGGTGAATGAGACCGAACCCCAGGGCCTGACGTAACAATGAATATCTCTATAGCATTCTATCATCTCCTATTATTATGATTCCAAACCAGGGAGCTAAGTGTCCTTACTGAGAAACTAAAACTCAGCTGGCCAAGTGACTCTAACATAAAACTGACTCCAAAATCCATTTTCTTTTCCATCGACCTAGGGAAGGAGAAAGGTTTCCATGGTTAAAGGATCAATTATTGACGAAAGTAAAGGATCTAGGGGTAGGGGCCTGGGACAGGGATATCAGAGAAGACTCCTTGGAGGTGATGAGGTTAAACTAGAACTTGAGAGATGAGGCAATGTCTTTCTTTTGATAATACATTTTTTAATATAACACTGACTTCAAGTTGAACCCTTTCTTTTCAGGTTGATGTGACTCACGTGAGTCTTGGGAGACTGGATGGCCAGACTCACCTGTCTCTGTAACTCCCCAGCCAGAGATGTGACACTCAGTCCCAGAGGGCAAGGGGTCATCAGGCAAACACACAGTCTTCACGTACTTGGTTTCCACAGCACAGTGACCATCCACTGGCTGTAGCTTGAGCAAAGCTGGGCAGAGAGAGAGGGGGACGTGAGTAATGATCTGTCTGTCAGAGAAGCGTCAGCTTCAACTTGACAGGAGGTGGTCATAGCAAAGCCCAACTCGGGGGATTTTGTCTAAAAACTTTCTTTCTCAGTTATTTCATTCTTTTAAATTCCACCTGGAGAGAAGAACCATTTCAGACTGAGAATAATAAGAAACAATAGTTGAGTTTGAGATCATTTCCAATCCATCCTGTAAAAATAGGCTTTAAGAGGGTAAAAATAAATATTGAAGGAGACAGAGTGAGAAGTTCCATGAATGCAGAAATAGGTGCAGAACTGAGTGTCAAGAACACCATTGACTGTGTACCTGATCACCTTCCAGGTGCCAGCTGTGCGTGGGGACATAGGCATATCATGTCACTTAACACATAGGAAGCTGAGAGCTGCAACAGTGTCCCATTTTATAGAACAGGGACCTGCAGCATAGAGAAGTGAGGCCAGCTAGTAAGCAGGGCAGCTGGACTCTTTCCACGACACAACATTCTTGGTACCTCTTCCCCTCAATTTAAGAGCTTGTGCACATTTATCCATACACCAGCACACACCTTTACAAACCAAAAAGCTTTGGAATCAATTCTCTCTACCTTATAGGATCTATGAGGGACCAAAAAGCGGAGAGCACCTTATAGAACTAAACCTCAGCTTTCCATCAGTAGAGAAGTCCACCCAGAGCAAGACCCATGGGAGACCCACGACAGAAAAGAACTTGCCAATATCGTTGTGGGGAATCTCATCTCTTTCATTGTAGTTGCTGTATTTGAATATCTTCTCCACCCCGAAGCTCTGCTCATGGAATTCTGTCTTCTTCAGGTCCTGGTCCCCTAAAACCACTTTCAGATGATTGACTTTTATGCTACAAGGCAAAATAAGATGGTCAGGAAAGAGGCCGGGCACTTGAAGGACTGGAGCTAAGCTCTGGCTCTGCTCCTGGTGAGCCATGTCTCCTTTGAGAAATGACCTGACCTTCTGCAGTCTCTGCCTCAGCATCACAGAACTCTGGTGCAAATAAGATATGTGAAGAAACTGCTTTGTTAATGGAACAGTCTCCAGATATTAGCTGTAACTTGCATTCTGTATTTCCTGAGGGACCTCCCATTCTCCCTGGGCTTCACTAACGAGCAGCGAACTAACATCTTGATCAAATATCCTTGGTAGATGGTAACATTTGCATGCTTTACCTCTCTTGAGGAGCACCTCCTAGAATTCTAGAGGAAATTGTTTAATAACAAGGTGAACTAGAAGAACTTCAAGCCCACCACCATGGGACCAGCCTTGACCATGAACTTAGGAATTTTGGGGCTGTGGAGATACGCAGACCCCCAGAGGGTGCTGCTTCTCTAAGGCACGTGGGGTTTGTGACTGAAGACACCTGACCCACGAGGCTCATGGGTGATGGCATCAGTAGGGAGCTTGTTATTTTTCTCCAGGGAAGGACTGGAGAGGTTAAGGAAACAGCTAGATCTGGGTTCAGATCCCTCTTGCTCATGTACTTTCCACATGCCTGTAGGCAGGGTGCTAACCTTCCCATGACTCAAGGTCCTCGTTTACGAAATGAGAATAACGATCAACTCTCTCACTGTACAAATATTTACTGGGAACTTGCTCCATATGAAGATCTGTGCTAGGCACTGGGTATACTACAATTAATAAAAGACAAAAATCCCTGTTTGCCCTCATCTTGTCTTCCAGGAGAAAGTTTTGAGATTAACTGTCATATACATTTACTGCACATGGTAAGCATTCTAGGCACAGTTGCTCTTCTCCATCTGGTTTTGAGGAGCCATTCTTTGTCCTTGAACTAGATCAGATGATCTAATCCTGCCTGAGTCACCAAGATATGCTCAGATGGGAAGGGCAGAACACTCGACCCATAGACTCGAGTCATCCCAGCCTCTGCTTCCAGCAGGCACCTACTCAGTGCAGTGGGCAGCAGTAAGCACCCAGCAGGGGTAGATCAGCGCCCCCCCACAGTAGTGGCCCTGGGGCATGGACATGGCCAATGGCAAGGAGGTCTGCAAGGACGCCTGCCATGGGTGCTTGCCCGCCGTGCTCTTGAAGCCTCCGTAGATCCTCTTGACCTTCCTCTCTGCTGTTTCAGTCCTCCCGCAAGAGTCAAACCCTGGAAGATTGGTCAGGGGCTCTGTGTGCGCAGTGTCTGTAGGACACAAGAAGGACAGATCATGCTAATCACCCTCCCTTCGGGTCCTCAGAAGGACCTTGTCAGAGGTATGACTCAGTCCGGCAGCATAGTTTAAGAGATTATACTGGTGCACACAGGGTGGGCATGTACTAGGTGCACAATTAATATCTGTTGACTACATTGATTAATATAAAGCAAGTCTATAGAATTATCAATAGAAAAGGTTGCCTTTTCCTTATTTTGACATATATACATACACAAAAAATGTGTGTATGTGTATATATGTATATAATATAAATATATATTCATATATATTTAGTAATATATAAAAACAATTTATAATATATATTGTAAATACATATTTTATATTATATATAAGATTAAAATATATATAAAAAATATATATATAAATATGTGATTCATCATTCATTAAGTACTTAGCTATTCATTAATGTACACTTTTATTTGGAGGCTTTTTCTGCGTCTAGGGGAAGATATCCAGAAGAAATAGAGTGGAGAGGATAAGACATTCGCACAGCTGTCCTACAAAGGAGGGTGTGATAAGTATAGGATGGTGGTGCCCATTCCACCCATGGGGTTTGTAAGGAGGGAGAGATAACACTTCACTTGGTAGATCACTGAGGACTCCCTGGAGGAGGGGCTACTTAAGTTGGTTCTCAAAGAATGGTTGGATATAGGTAAGAGTAGATATGGAATGGAGTATTTTAGACAGAAGTGACTATAAGAGCAAAGGCACAGCATGAAAACTGTCAAGAGGGGTAATCCCACCGATTGGGGTGGGAGGGTACATTGTTCCACACCTGGGTAGGGAGGTGGGCCAGGGCAGCTCAGCAGGAAGACTGTGAGGCTGGAAAATTCAGTCCCTGCTGCATCCTGAGAGACTGTGGAGGCCCAGCCAGTGTTCGATTACCACTGTGCACTGAAGGTCCTGGCACAGTGTCTGGTGCACAGCAAGAAATTGGTAAATGTGTACTGCGTGCACTGACTAGGAGTCAGGAAACATGAGGGTACACTTGGAAAACTGGCCTGAGTGTACAAAGGTATCCAAGCTTGCCTGGCATCTGGGAAGGGAGAAGAGGACTGGGTGGCTGGGTTGCCTCTGGGATCACAATTGTTTAGGCAGATGGGTAGACAGGGTGAGAGAGGGGGTATCTATGGAGGCGACCTCCCCACTACCAGGACCTCTACACAGCCACGGTCTTACCTAGCACTGAGCAGGCTGAGACATCACAGTACTCCCATTTCACCTTTGAATTGTTTACTTTAATGAAACACCAGGGCTTTTTGTCTCCATCTGGGTTTCTAAAATAAAAATAAATAAATAATGCAGGATCAAGGCTTCATGAACCAGCTGGATCTCATTGAAGACCTTTGGGTAAGAGGGTACCAAGTCCTTCATCCCCTCTGGGACTACATTCCATTCCATTCCTCCGACAAGCTAGCAAATGCCAGCATGTTAGGGTGGTCATAGCATTTTGATAAAACTTTAATTTCCAAAAGTGAATCCCAATGGCCAGGAAGTAGCTCACAAGCCTTGCACTAGTCCATGGGGCATATCAAACCGTAGAAAAAGAAATGAGATCCCTGCTGAAGATCCTTCTTTGTCAGGAAAGTGGAATAGCCACCGAAGCATGGTGAGAGGAGGGCTTCTCTGCCCACTCCTCCAAGCCCCAGCGTGGGAATTCTCTGAGGGAGGCTGCCCTGGGGGCCGCCCTGCAGACAGCTCTGTGCAGAGAACAGCCCTAACTGGTGATTTGTGCAAGGGAAATCCTCTTGCTCCATGGGACTGGTTTAAGGCCACAAAAAAACGTTGCCCCTTACATGCAGATCATATATGTCTTTGGCCTGAGTTAGACAATGAGCAGTAGAAGGAAACCATCAGAATGGTCTGCATGAGGAAGAAGACAGCTACTCATCACCAGGGACTGAAATGGCATTATCCTTACTTGGGACAACCCGAACATCCTGTGGCAGAGACGTTAATACTCACCAGACAGTCCATTTTCACCTCTATATTTTTCCCTTTAATTTATGTGCGACTAGGCAACTATTTCTGGCTACTGAAATATGTGTGCAGAGATGATGTGTGACTTCCAGGTTGAGGTAGTAAAAAACCCATGTTATATTTTCCAGTCTCTCTTTGTCTTTCCTGGGTATTTGAGTAACTTGGTGGAGCTAAGAATCTCCCACCCTTATCCCCACCCTTATCCCCAGATGACACAAGTAGCCTTAATGAGAAATAAACATTGATGTATTCAAGTCACTGGGATTTGGGAGCTGTTTGTTGTAGCAATACAACCTAGCCTATCCTGAGTAGGAAAATCTTCCTGGAAAAAAAATGCTGATGAGTTTCAGTGTTCTGTTCCAAAATTTTAGGCTGGCCCAGGGAAAGCTAGGAGCAGGGGAAAGGGGCAAACAAAGCCTTACGCTGACAAATGGCGAAGACTGAGCATAAGGAAAGTGAGTTTTACCTGCAGAAGTTGTGCTCTGCAATCCCATGGGCCTCAGCATCCTCCATAAACGTGTTGTAATTCTTCTGCAGGAGGAGGTGGGAATTCCAGGGAAGGCACGAGTGCTGATTGACCGTCCTACTCACTTTCCCTCGGTAAGAGTAGCCATCACCAACATAGCAGTCATCAGGACCTCGGAGAAAGCAGGCAGGGACATGAGAACTGGGAGCAGCTGGCATGCTGCTCCGGAAAAGGACTTGGCAGATGCATCAAGCGGGAAGAGGATTGGGCCTGAATAGTGATCACCCTGAGATTTCACCCCAATGTCTCAGAAAGAAGGCAGCTTGAATGTTCTGCATTCAACCCAGCCTGAGACATTGGGGTTATTCTGTTAGGTTGGAGGGCCAAGGCAATAGTAGTTTGGGAATCTTGACTTGAACCCCATTCTGGCAGCAAAACCCAAACAGGAAAGGATTCTAGGGGCCTTACTTGTGTCCCCGAGCTTCTGATGAAGTGGTGATAAGGGAACCATACCTATTTCACAGAATCTCCCCTTGAACTGGTTGGGACAGGTGCAGGTAAATTTGGATCTCCGCCTATGCCGGGAGCAGGTGCCACCATTCTGGCAGGGATTTGGCCGGCATGCAGGAGCCACTGTGAACACAGAAAGTGGGGCCAGAGAGGCGTTGCATCTGAATTGATGAGATGTTGGCATTCTTCTAGTGTCCATCATTTCACAAAAGATGAGTCACCAAAGGAAAAAGACAGACCCATCGACACTCTAGTAAATGTATGCATGAAACTTAAGAACATAAACAAACATGGATGAAGCATATGGTTGGTTTCATGCAAAAAAAAAAGCATGTAAATAGATGGATCATTCAGTAAGAAATAACAAGAGGCATACACTGAGCAGGAATTTGGGGCCTAATCTGAGCTAGGTTGAAACTTGGCTCTGCCCCTTGATAGCTGTGTGACTGTGAGCAAGTTAGTTAACCTCTCTGAACTTCAGTTTCTTCATCTGTAAAACTCAGTGCTCTTGGGAGAATGTGAAAAACACGGAAATCCCCTGGGATAATGCCTGACTCATAGCAGTGACTAAATACAGACTTTTTCCTGTACCTGGCCCATTACAGGAACAGACCAGAGCTGCTTCCTGGAGGAAGTGAGTTTCACTTTCTGGATTCTTTCTGGATAGGAAGGAACGCAGATTGGGCAATTCTCATGGCCTCTCCAGGAATGATGAATCTTAAAAAGTCTTAGTTAAAAGGCCTACCTTGGATGCCATTAAAACATTGGCTGTCTCTGAACTCCCAAACAGGGTAGAGAAAGCCTAGCATAGAAGGGGCCTCCGGCACTTACCTGTGGAGCAGTGTGGACCCCTGTAAGGGTGTTTACAGGCACAGTGATAGTAGGGAGGACTCTGAGTAATGACACATTCACCCCGGCCACATGGATTGTTCTTGCACTTGTTTTGCACTGTAGGAGAACCATAGAGAAGTAGGGCTAAAGTACAGGACATTATTTGGGGCACATTTTACTTATAGGGATACCTGTACAGTATAATGTTTGAGGGACGGGGTGGCACTGACAGAACACGTGCCCTTGTCCATGGTCCTGAAACAGCATGCTACTCCCAGACAAGGCCTTTCTCTTATCCTTGGTTCATAGATGATTGCTTCCCAGTTCCTTCCCGTGCTCATAGTCTTTATTATTCTATCTTTATAAAAACCCTGGTAATTTTTACACCTTCAACAAAAAAAAAAGAGCTGTGATTCGAGTTTCTCCACTTTATAGCTGATTTTATATGCTGTTTACAGTTTTGTCATTCTTGTGAAAAGCTGAGGGATGAACCCTAATACTGTTTATACCTGATATCCCAAACCATCCTGAAGCATTTATAAAAGGACTTGTAGGATTGAAAACGGGAGGAATAAATGAAGAAGAAACAGAGGAAAGAAGTCAATCATAAAATGCTATAAAAAGACCTGCATTGCCTCCCCAACCCCAGTTAGATGGTTACTAGATGGAACAGAATCTGGGTTCTCGCTAGGGGTGCAATTAGCCCACAAGAGTTCCGTTCCCAACACCTAACCACATAGCCTCATGTTAGGTCCACAAGAGGTCACTAAATGTAGACACTGTTTTATCAGTCTCCGTGAGTGAAGATGGCAGGAAGAAAGAGTTTGGAGCAGGAGTCAGGCACCAGGGCTCCAATTTCTGCTCTTCTTCTAGAGCTGTGTGGCTGTGAGCAAGCCCCTTGTACTCTCTGGGTTCCCTTTCTCTAACTGGATTGGGCCCATGTGCCCTGAGATCCTCCCACTCTCCCACCTAGGAACGTTTCTCTGTTGTAGTTATTCTAAACACTCCTCTCAACAACAACAAATAATCCTGAATTTAGGATACATTTTGGTCAGAGTCCAGCTCCTATCTTCTCTTGGCCTCAATGTTCTCATCTGTAGATTGGACATACTAATCCTATTTAGCATGCAGGGGTGAGGATACAGGGAGATGCTGTTTATGTCCAAGCTGAGGAATCCATTAGGCATGACACAAAGTGCGTGGCTATGTCCTTTCCGTGAGCTCACTCAGCCCCTCTTTACCTCCTGGAGCTGGAGGAGGACCTGCCTCTTGTTCAGCTCTGAGGGAAGAGTGAGTCTGGTGAAGATGCACTCACCATTCTGACACCTTTTTCCAGAGAATGGGGATGGGCAGCTGCACGTGAAGGTGTCCCCACTGACAAGGCAGTCTCCACCATGTTCACAGGGGTTGGACAGGCATGGGTCTATGACACATGGGTAGAAGTCAACATTTGCAATGAACAGCAGGTGAGAAAGCCCCCAACTTGCTCATCAAATTTCAGTCTTTTGAAAGACCATTTTTCAAAGCTAGACGGTTTGTGCTTAATATCCCAATCCCAGATCATCCTGAAACATTCATTAAAGGACTTGTAAGATTGAGAATGGAAGGAATAAATGAAGAGGGCACAGAGGAAAGAAGTCAATCATAAAACCCTATAAAAAGACCTTCCCTTCCTCCCTGACCCCAGCCAGATGATTGAGGGTGACGAGAGGGTAACTGCATAGCCAGTGACTGGGGATGGGGGAAACACACATTGCCCCTAGAGAGCAAGGAAAACTGCAGCCACACAACTAGACAGAAGGATTCAGGGGAGTGAGAGGACAGGCGAGAAGGAGTAGTGACTGTCTCCCCTTGGCCTGGCTTTCGATGGGGCCTTTCTCATCGAGAAACTCTTCTTTCCATCATCAGTATTTTTCTCCTCCCAGTCTCGCTGGGAGTGCCACGGGGTCTGTCTCTGATGCTGAAGGCATTTCACAAGCCTGAAGACCTCCCCTACTCCAGTGCCCGGGGGTGGAGGTCAGGAGTGGGGAAAGAAAACCCACCCCTAATGAAACGCAAGCTTTCTGAACATCAGGAAAGAAGACCAAAGGCAAGAGGGTGACAGAAGAATTGACGGCGAGGAGGAAATGACCCAGTGGCCTTCATCTTTCTTCAACTACTTGTTCAGTTAGATTTTGTCATATTTCATCTGTGCCTTTGGCTTTTCATGGTTGTCTGAATGGATCTTCCCTTGGGGAATTCTTTATCCTTCTGTTCACACACATTGTTCTTTGGTTCAGGAACGAGGATCCCTGGGCCCGGCTCTTGTTTTGATGGTCCCTTCTGATGTTCCCCTGATGCCCTGTGTCTTGGCCCTGCCTTCCAGGCCACTTCGCACAGTTACACAGTTTTTATTCCAGTTGCGAAGTGCTTTCCATCCCTTCTCCTGCTTTAGTCACATGTCTGTGCTTGGGCCCAGGTTCTCATTTTCCTGTCTGTCCCACTGCTTGGGTTTTGAAGCCATAAAAACAAAAACAAATGTGGCAGAAGCACATGTGTGAGCATACACACACACAGACACACAGACACACAGACACACAGACACACACACAACTGAGCAAAGCTTCTGAAAAAGAAAAACCCAGCATAGGTAGAACTGAATGGAAGTCCCAGTGCCAGATCTGAATGCTATAATCTGATGCCTGATGCTAACTCAGGCTCTTTAGTGTCATTGCCTGTAACCAAAACTAGGCACGATTTTGAATGTGACTCTTGCAGTGTCAGGAGACCTGGAGGATGATACAGGAACTTGCTGTCGGATTTCAGTGTATGATTCTAACTAAAAAAAGGTGGGTCTAAATAATTTCTTGGACACCTATTTTATGGTGCCGGTCAGAGAGGAGGAGAGCTGGACCCTTGCATATGGCCACACATAAAACTCCCTTCCCAGCACACTGCCCTTCTCCCAGGAGGGCCCCCCAAACGGCATCGGGACCTACCGTCCTCTGTGTAGTACCAGTCAGGATTCTCAGCATAGGCAGTGGTACTACTGGAGGGCTCCTCTGGGTCGTATTGCTCATAGCTGTACTCATAGTTATCAGGAGTCCAGACTACAGAAGTGGGAACAGGACAGAAGAAACCCTGATCATTAGACACAAATTAGTCCACATTTTATTTTGCTGAACAGCTTTTTTCCCTAAATATTTCTAAGTTGTGAAGAAAGAATTTGTGTGTCTTTCCAGCTCCTCACACAGATGAGGTAGACAGAAGGGGTCATGCGCAGTGAGTTTTCATTTGGGGGGATGTGATGACTCAGCAAGGCAGCCTTGGCATTTGGCAGGGTCAAGAGCAATGGATTGGAAAGGGGAGAAGTCAAGTTCTGGCTTTCCAATGACCATGACCTTGTATGCCAATTGCATTCTCAGTCCTCAGTTTTCTCATCTGCAAACAGCAGGAAGATGATTGGGGCCTGGAAACTTTCCAAGGTCCTATATGAGATCTGCCCAAGCTCAGACCAGGTGGCACTTGAATGCTTTGTTGGATAGTTCTGTGAATGGCATTTCTCAATGTGACTTTATTAGTCACCTTAGCTTAATGAAGTAAAGAAACTCATCACCTTCCCCTCGGTCACAGCATCAAACTACTTCCAAGTTGTATCTACCAAGTCATTACAACAACTAATATTTATTAAGCCTTTACCACGTACCAGGCCCTGTGCTAAGCATTTTACATGCACCATCTTCTTTCATCCTCATAAAAACCTAGGTTATTATTATCTCTACTTTAAGTTGAGAAACTTTAGGCTGAAAGAGGTTAAGTAATGCCCAAGATCATATAGCTAATGACTGGCAGGGTATGAAGCAAGACAATTTATATCCATATAATTTCTAAATCACACTAGTTCAAGTCCTTCAACTGGCCTCTAACACTGCCTCAGATAATTCTCACTTCCCCTTGGGGAAGGATTCCAACCATCCCCATTGCATATTCCATCTGCTAATGAGAAATTGCCTGAGGACCACCATGAGAAGCTTCCTGCACTTTGTCCCCAAAGATGGAGGAAAGTGTATGGTGTTGCCCACAGTTGTAAACCTCACACTAGGCCAGTCTGTTGGGACGAGTAGGTGTGTTTAAGGCTGGAATCAAGCTCTTTGTTGTCTGGGGGCTTGGAAAATGCTGGTAGCTCCGTGGCTCATGGAAAGAATTTTGGGATTTGAAGAGAGTTGACTTGATTTTGCTTTCTCCACCTGGCAAGTGGGTAAGGAAGCTGCCCAGAGATGCACATGATAAGGAGGCAGGAGTAAGTGCAGATAGCCGACTTGAATCGGCACCCCCACAGAGCCAGCTGATGGCTGGTTAGATGGTGCTTTTCCTAAGCCTGATTATCAACAACATTATCTTACTGGTCTCTCAGTCCTTCCCCTTACAGTCTTTATCTCTTGGACTTTTGAAAAATTGACTTTTGCACAATGGCTGTTTTATATTTCCCATTAAAGTGGAACTATCTTTTTTATTTCCTTTTTGAATACGCCAACTCTGGTTCCTTGCCAGAGTTTCAGCTCATTTATCACAGTGTCAAGTCAAGACTCCCTTTGCTTGCTCATTATTTCTCCCGAGCTGCTTTTCCCCCACTATGAAAATGCTTCCAGAGGAGGCCACCTTTCCAGGGATGAAGATCTAAGCTGAAGATAAGGCCATTGTTTTCCTGGAGCAAATAAAGTTTCTTTCCAGTCAGTGTGCTAAAGCAGAGAGAGAAACTGAGAAAAAAATGTTTTTCTGAGTTTGACATGAAAGATTTCACACTGACATTTAGGAGAGACAACGGGCTTGGTAATGAGATGATTGCATCACTTCTTTCTTTTTTTCTTTGGAGAATTCATTTTTGTTTTTCCAACGGGTGTTTACAGATAAGTGCCTTCAGATTGCTCCTGTAATTTCTTCCATCACTCCCACAGGTTGAGGGTCAGACTGGCTAATCTTGGCTAGACCATTAAGAATTATTCTCTTCGCAGATACTTGGAAGCAGAGGTTTTTACATGGAAGGAATGATGTGACCTTTCCAGGTGACAGACGATGGATGAAATGTCTGTTGGAGGATTTTGACTTGAATCCAGCTCCATTAACAAAGTCTGCTCATTTTTTAGTGAAGCGAAAGAGGAAATAAAATGTGGGCTTTGAATCATACTTGTGCTAAGCAAGGCAATAAGTCCCTCTTATTATCTAGGACTCAGGTCCTTGGTTGATGTGGATAGAAGCAGGAGAGGCTTGGTGGCTCCAGATTATTCAGAAGCCATCAAGTTGGAAGACTGTACACAGGAAGGTACCAAGATCCTTTACATTTGGGATGGGCTGCAACATGTTTTAAAAGTGCTTTATGGGAGCAATCCTGGGAGCGTTTCTCTACCTCTAGATCCAAAGCTTATTTTGTCTTTTCCATTATGTTGGCACTTAAGGAAGACATTGGGAACAGAGGACATCGCACATGAAAATGAGTGGGATGTGGCCTGTTATCAAAGGACCCTCCAGTCTAGGGTGGGTGGGGTAAGAAAGCCAGCCAGGAAGGAGACAAAAAGGAAGTGAAGAGGCAGGGGAGCTGGAGGCCTGGTGGCTTGAGTGAGCTCCCCATGAGCCCTTTCAGAAGCCATCAAGTTGGAAGACTGTACACAGGAAGGTACCAAGATCCTTTACATTTGGGATGGGCTGCAACATGTTTTAAAAGTGCTTTATGGGAGCAATCCTGGGAGCATTTCTCTACCTCTAGATCCAAAGCTTATTTTGTCTTTTCCATTATGTTGGCACTTAAGGAAGACATTGGGAACAGAGGACATCGCACATGAAAATGAGTGGGATGTGGCCTGTTATCAAAGGACCCTCCAGTCTAGGGTGGGTGGGGTAAGAAAGCCAGCCAGGAAGGAGACAAAAAGGAAGTGAAGAGGCAGGGGAGCTGGAGGCCTGGTGGCTTGAGTGAGCTCCCCATGAGCCCTCTGGTGTGGTGTGAGCCGACCTAATGAACAAAATGGCCCCAGTTCTCCACTCCTCCTTGGAGCCACACCTTTTGCAAAGTGACTTTGCCGCTCCTCCTACCAAAAGATGGAGCCAATTTCCCCAGCCCTTGGGTCTCGGTTGGCCCTGGGGCTTGCTGTGGCCAAGAGCATGTGGTGGAAGGATGGTGTGCCAGCTCCAAGCCTGTGGGGCACTTCCTTTCTCTTTTCCTCTTTCTCATGGACCTGTGACTGCCGTGAGAACAAGTCTGGCTTTTTCTACAGAGGATGAGAGAAGATTTGGGGCAGCAGCAGGTCCAACTGTCCCAGCCAAGGCTTCAGACGCATAAGAAAGCCCAGCCAATCTACTGGCTGACTGCGCACACATGAGGTGGCTCAGTCAGGACCAGGTTAGCCTGTCCGGACTGGAAGAACTGCCTGGCTGAGCCCAGTCTAAATTGCCAACCCAAAGAATTGAGTTCTCAATACATGGTTAATGGTTTAAGCCATTAAACGTGGGGTACAGTATTATGCAGTAATAACGAATGGACACACAGGGCTCAGTTGATACTGGGTTGCTATTGGACTAAGAATTTTAGATACCAGAGCATTCCTCATTGGTCCAGGTGGCTGCCAAGCCTTCGGTTTCATGGATAGAGTTCAGATGGCACCTCTCTCTTGTGGTTATTGTTGAAGTTGGTCTATATGATTTGTTTCCTCCAACTAGACAGTTGGTTTCTTAAGAGCAGGGACCATGCCTGCTCCTCCTTCTGTCCAGTGTCCAGCACAGAGCCCTATATGCTGTTAATGTATGTGTGTGACAGGCCACTTTTTCCCTCTGTGGCCAAGCCAGAAGGAATCTGATTGGCCAGGACACAGAGGATACCCAGCTCTCCCGGCAAAGATGGTGTCTGCTTGGAGCACAGTAATCAAGGAATTTAAGAGAGAGTGAGATTTGGATCATAGGAGTTTGGTAAAGAAAATGCATCCTGAGCTTTGTAGGAGTCCAGAAATTTGTCCAAGTGCTTTTCTGAGTAGAAATGGATTGCAGCCTGACATGAAATTTGGTTCCATTGATAGGTCCAAGAAAAACACTCCAAGTTCAAATAAAAATTATTTGAGACTTTCTCTAGGCTGCAGAAAAGGAGAAAGCTTTAGGGGAAGAATGCAGCAGCTGTCAGAAGCATTTTATATTTAGTACAAGAAGAAAGCATTGCGAATTTATCTTGTTTATCAGAGTCTGTTTCTAGAATTTACAGGAAGAATGCTGAGAGTATCCTGAGTTAACTCAAATAATGCTACTCATAGTTTATTATCTGCTGAGTATTTTCTATATATTTAACCTTAAAAAAAAAAAACCAAAGCTGTGGCATAGGTATTATCTTTCCTATTTTACAGAAAAGGGCAGGATGGTATCGCAACTCAGCTCACCTAACTCCAAGCCTGTTTGGCTTTTTGCAAGTCCCAGAGCCTCCTGTGGGTTTGTGTTTTATGGCACTCCATGAGCTTTAGCTTCCAGGAAGCAGCACACATTGCGGAATCATTTTTAGCACACACTCCAGGTCCCTCGACCAGGATTACTGTGGTCTATACCCACGGTCTCTCAGAAAAAGCTCAGAGTTCCCGTGAAGGGGGCTGTGCAGCTGCTCTGGTTAAAGAGCTTGCCAGATGTGTGGAACGGAATAAAAATCCCTGGAATGCCGTCCCTGTTGGTGTCATCCATCACTGTGGCACAGACGGTTCCTCTGAGGGCCTCCCCCCAAACCCCAGCCCTGTTGGCCCACATTTGACGCTTCCAATCCAGCTGACAGGGCAAGCCCAGCAGAGACCCTCACTGGCAGGCATCAGGACAGCTGATGGATGGGCTCAGCTTGTGTTGCTGGGCAGAGCCAAGCCAGCTTTGAAGAGGCATTTCCGCAGGCCTGTTGGCTGTCACGTCACCTGCTTTAGGGAGATAGGCAGAGTCTGTGCTGTTTGATGGCTACCTCCTCTGCCACCCGCTGGGGTTGATGGCCTGGGCACCTTCTGCTCCAGCAAGGCCCTCACCAGGCACTGTTTCCAGCAAGACCAACTAAAGAAGCAGGTTGCCTGTGGACATAAGCATGGTGTTACCTTGGCCACACGCTTGTCTAAAGCCAACTGGGATCTGACAGATTCCATCAAAGCACAACCCCTATGTGAAATTAAATCAGACACTAACAAGGGTGTTTTTAAAACCTAACCTGTTCTTTGCAGGAAGGCCCAGCTACTACATTTAGTGCGTTCCACAGCCAGATATTGACAGAACACCTTAAGATGGACTTGGGAGCCGAGGTGGTGTACTGCAGTGTCCCTTCTTTTGCTCACCAAACTGCCAGAAGCTATTGGCAGAGTTATAGAGCCCAGGATCTCAACACTCTCCACTCCCTATTAAGTGGTTTTTCATCCTGTGCTTAAATACCACCAGTAATGGAGAACTCACTACCTCACGAGAGTCCAAAAGGACATTCAGTTTTTTGGCCAGTTCTTGATAGAGAATTTTTCTTGTTTTCAGATCAAATTTGACCCTACAGCTTCCAACCTGTTTAATTAAAGCTAAAAGCCTTATGGACACTCAGAATAAATCCACTCTGTGATCTCTGTTCAGTAGTGTCCCTGCCTACAGTTCAAGAGTTGTTTACTGCACAATTCCAGGGTGTCATAAACGGATAGTCATTGTAGGTGTCTTTTACAACTTTCTGGCAGAGGGCAGGGAAATGTCTAGTGATAAAGACACCTCCTCATTCTCACTAGGATGGGGCTTCTTTTTGAACCCTTGAAGAGAACAAGGTCCCTTGAATCTTCTGTGTTCCTGTTTCTTCCACTCTGTGACCCCTCACCTCCACCCACCGGCTCTGCTGCTCTGTCTCTCTGACACCCAGACCTAAGCAGCCCCTCCGTGGAACCTGAGCAGTTGGGGTGAAAGCTGGGGAGGGAGGCGCCTCTTCCCGCCTTTTGGCTTGGACCCTGCCTGGGCCCCACAGAGATGCTGGCGTGACCAGCCGGGGGAGGCTCTGACATCTGAGTGTGCCGAGGAGCTGCATTACATTGCTGCTGAATAGAACACTCTCCTCTGCTTTGTGGGGAAAGACACAGGTCCTCTCCAAAACCCACATACCATGTTCATGTGTTTTTTTTCTTTCAATTTCCACAAACATGTCCCAAGCACATGAGGTGACCAAAGTCAGACATCACTTGTGGTGAGCCAGCAGGAATTTGTCTGCCCATCCAGGGCTTTGTTGCTGGGCAGTATTAACTCTCAAGCTGAATTTGGCCCAGGGGTCACTGCCTTTGCTCCAAATAAATCCTTGATGCAAAGTTTTAGGTGTGACTGCGAAGTCCATGTGCTGCCTGCCTGCTAGTTTGTGTCCTCTTGAGGGGACACCAGCCTCTGCACCGATGGAGTAGGGAGCGGAGTTTCCTCTCTTGGGTCTCAGAGCAGCAAAGGGAGACTCGGACCCAGCGGCAGAGGCCACAAGGGGACGATGTGGCAGGGGGAGTGGCCCTGCTCAGCCCCAGGGCAGCAGTGAAGTGCTGGTGGGTGGCCGTCGCTGGAGTGGGTCAGCCTGCATGCTGCCATCCTCTCAGCACCGGGTGCTGGTGCCCCACCAGGTGGGCTGCAGGGAGTCGGGGTGGCACTGGCTGCCTGCCTGGGGGTAGTCCCTGCCCAGGGATGCCCTCGCTTTGCCTTGGCCTTTTCATCTCATCTCAGCCACTATGGGCTCTGTGACCTGTGGCAGGTTACTTCCACTATCTGGGCCACAGTTTCCTCCTCTGTAAAATGAAAGTGTTTAACTTAGCCAGTGTTTTTTCCCTTGGGGTCCTGAGACTGGGCACCAGGGGTGTCTACAAGCCACTGGAACTTTTGTCAGGCATTGTGTGGGTGCATGAACAAACACCCCGAGTGCACTTTTCTAGGAAAATTCTCAAAAGGTTCTATGACACTTCCAAACCATTTGAGCCTTGAGGCTGCTTCAGCACTTACGGGCATGAGCCCCCTTTCCTCCACCTCAAAACCAGCCTGAGGTTGGTAAAGAGCCCAGGGCGACCCTCACACTCACCTGGGTCCAGGTCTGCGCGCAAAGACATCAGGGAGAACTGAAAAACAGAAGGACACAGAGCAGAGGCAGGTGCAGTCAGCCCCCTGCTACACCTTCCCAAGGTCCTGCAGCCCAGAGGGGCCTTTCCCAGGGTCAGAGCCAGGGCACAGGCACTCTGGGCACTTTCTGATGGCTGCACTGGGACCAGGTCAGAGGGAGGGGGCTATTTGAAGATGGCCCCTCTTGCTGTGCTGTCTGAGCATCTGAAGCATTGCCTTTCTCTGTATGGACTTGTGGAATTTACACTTACCTGCTCCTGTTGGAAGTGTGGCTGCTCAGGTATTGAGGGTCTTGTCACTTACGGTGATTAGCATATATTGAGCACCTCAGCTCTGCCTGATTCTCATTGCTGCATTTAATGCTCAGGATGGCCCTATGAGGAGGCTTCTATTAGCCAGATGAGAACTTTGAGGCTCAGAAATCATATAGCTGTAATAAAGATTTAGATTCACACGCAAGTCTAGGGATTGTCTCAGGTGAGAGCTCCTTGGGACTGGGGATGGACAGATGCTTAAAACTCTCCAGTGACTTCTCATTGTCCTTGGAATAAACTATAAGCACATGACATGACCTACAATCCTCCTCCCATACCCTTCCCTCCCTCTGCCCCTTACTAATCTCCATCCACACCTGGGTTCACAAATGACACTAACCACACTCCTCCCACCTCAGAGCCTTTGCACATGCTGTTCCTTCTGCCAGAAAGCTCTTCTCCATGACCGTCGCAGCTTAAATGTCATCCTCTCAAGGAGAACTTCCCTAGGTGCCCTATCAGTATGACACCCCCCTCACTGTCTTGTCCCTGCACCTGTTTCCTCCATGATCCTTGCTAGAACACATAGTTTTGTATTTGTTTATTGGCACGTTATCTGTTTCTCATGTTAGACTCTGTCCTCCAGAAAGGCAAGGATCTTGTCTGTTTTGCCAATGATGTGTTATCCCCTACCGGGCACAGTGCTTGACACATGGCACTCCTCAAAAAGGTTTCGCTGAATAAATAGTGATATGAACAGTTCCTTTTAAAATGTGATACTTACCAGAAAAAGAAAGTTTTTCATCTTTTAACAGCTGAAATATTTTCTTTCACTTACGTCAGGGGCCAGCAACCTGAGGCCCTTGGGTCAAACCAACAGTTTTGGTTGTATAAATACATTTTTACTGGAACACAGCCACACCCATTTGCTTACATATTGTCCAAGGCTGCTTTTGTGTTACAATGGCAGGACGGAGACAGAATAGCCCCAACTATTTCCTATCTGGCACTTTACTGATTTGGAAAACAAGAGTCCTATCACCCAACAATTTTCCCTTTGGATCTTGGCAGCTGAAAAGCTGCGTCCAACATGGTTATCTTCCCGGTACCCACATTAGTCCGGGCAGTCTAGTATATTTTCTCCCTCCACCCTCAGCAGAGGTTTTAATTTTCTGTTGTACTGAAGGCCTCCTTAACCATCTGTGGAAATAGGCAGATGATAAATTAGGGAAGAAAGGTAAAACGCAAGAATGCATCCTGACCCGATGAACCGAGGGCACCACATGGAGTAGGATCCTTGACAAAAATGCTTATGCTGAATCTTCTCACGAGGGGCACAGCAGAGCCAAATGTGGCCATTCTATGAAACTAGCAGGCCAGACTCTAAAATAAGGCAAATGTCATAAAAGGCAGAGAAGATGGAAAGATTACTCTTTATTAAATGTGACTCAAAAGATATGACAACTAAATTCCATAAGTGATCCTTGCTTTTTAAAAAAAACTATGAAGGACATTATTGGGACAATCAGGAAATTTGAATATAGACTTATTTTAGACAGTATCAGTGTCTCAATGTGGCATTTCTTGAGAATAATGGTGGTGGGATACTGTAGGAAAATGTCCTCATCCTTAGAAGATGATGCTGAAGTACTGAGGGTGGTGTCTGCAGTGTAGCTGCAAATACTTCAGCCAACCAGCCAACAAACCAAAGCCAACATATGTAGAGACGCACACAGGAGAGCAAGAAAGCAAATGTGGCAAAATGTTCACTGTTGCATCTATCTGGTGAAGAATATTCAGTGTATTAACCTTTCCATCTTTCTGGAGGGCTGACAAATTGCAAAATAAAAGGCTGGGGAGAGGACAGGGATGCAAACAAGGAAGGGAGGCCCTTTGCTGTCTGGCCTGAGCCGCTTTAATTCCCGCCTGGCCCCCCAGCCCTGTTTCTGCAGAGAATGAGACAAGAGGTGGGTGTTCTGTTTGGGTGGTGGTTGATAGTAGGGAGCCTCACAGAGGAAGAGTAAGTTCAGGTCTCAGGAGTGTTCCAGGGCCTGGGGCTTGAACAGGGGAAGTCTGAAGTTGACCCCTCTGGGCTTGAGTGCCCCGGCAGTGCCCCACAAGGGGCATGAGAGGACTCCCAGCACAAACCGTTACCCCCCTTCAATCTCAGTGTCCTTGCAGCCAGCCACCTTGGTCCTGGTCCTTTGTTCCAGGACCTCATTTTCCTCCCATGGAGCTTGACCAGAGGGCAGGGCCTGTGTCTCCACCTATATTCTCCCAGCCTTGGGGAGACAGCTGCTGACATCTCCCATTTGAGCTGAATAGTGCCGGTTATGCCTGGCCACCGTCAGCCCTGAGAAGTGGGCAGGACAGGAGAGAGGACTTTGAGGACCACACTTCCTCGGGGCCCCGCGCAGAAAAGGTCCTCCAAAACCTGTGCCTGCTCCAGAGCCCCAGATCTTCTAAACCGGAGCCTGAGGGGTGACCAGGTGCTGCGCTGCCCACGGCCAGCAGGTGGCAGACGTGCCCTTCTCGGGAGCAGGAGCTGGGGCTGGAGGTAAAGCAAACAAAAAGAGCCGGCCTTCCAGGGCCGGAGAGCCTTCAGATGCCACTGGCTCTCAGGGGAGCAGCTGCTGCCTCGCTGGGCAGCCTGGGCTGCATGTCGGGGGTCCCAAGGGCTCGAAGCAGGCCCACTCATTCTGTGAGTCACTGGGTCTACTCCCAGAAAAGCTGTGGTGACATGTGGAAACTGGCAGCCCAAACATTGGGCTTGTATCTGGGGAACCATCTGAGAAAGGCCAGGCCAGTAGCCAGTTACTTATGCCATTCATCTGGATCTGGAAACTGTTGTGCATAGTGGTGGGGCACGTGGGGTGGGTGGACAGGCACAATATTTGCCTCCTTTCATCCCATTATTCATTCACTTTTTCCACAGAGACAGGGAAATGATAGAACTCCAGGCCTAACACTTGCAAATCCAAAGAGGAAGATCACTGAAGCCAGAGGAGGAGAAGGGAGAGACAGCTGAGACTTCAGTGCACGTTCATTAAGAGCTGCCACTGCACCAAGGACTGTGCTCAATGTTTTACATGCATTTTTTGCACACAATACTTGGTAATTGAGGTACTATGATTAGGTCCATTTCAGAGGAGAGAACACAGGTTTGCAAAGATTAAGTTGCTCCGAGTAAATGAGCTGGGAAGGGCTGAGGCCAGCGTAGAGTGGAGCCAGTCTCACAGCTGAGCTCTTGCCCTTGCGCCCCACTGCAGTGAGGGATGGGGGGCCACGGCAGGAGTGCAGTGCAGTCAAAGGGTGGAGGAGAAGGAACCGGAAGAGCATCAAATTGTAAGAGAGGCAGGGCACTGAACCAGGTTAGGAGATCAGGCCCCTGTTCTTGGAAAGCTTTAGGAAAGGCCTGCCCAGACTAGTCCAGGCCAGCAGGACACAGAGAGGGCCACTGAGCCCCACTGACAGCTGTGGATGGCACAAAAGTCAGCTTGGGCCTCAGCCAGTTCACTGTGGCAAACACATCTCAACAAACATCACCACACAAATCAAAAGGCACGCAAGCCACCGCTCTCTTCTCCCACATCTATTCCTAGTCTCAAGAGGGCTAATGTAGCATGTGGTCACAACTGCCCCAGCTCCTCTTAGAGGCCTGGAAATAGGTGCTTCTTGCGCATGGGAAGAGAGATGCTTTGCAGTAGATTCAAAGAGACCCCTCTAGATTCAATTGCTGGTCCACCGACTCCACACTCAGGCTTCTCAATGGATCTGTGGCTTGGGACTCTGGCCTTCCCCAGCTAAGAGCAGGCTCTCAGCAATGCTGAACTCCCTTCAGTCACCAAGGAGTGGGTTGCAATATCATCTAGGCTAAGCCTGGTTAGTTAGGAAGATGGGGAGGGGTAGAGAGGATACTGTGTCTTGAGTATTGCACTATTTAAAGTGTAATCTTGGGGGTGGAAGGCATTGAGGTCTAATCTATTTTGTCCTATCTTTAATTGAGTGACTATTTTGACTCAGGTTCTTCCTCTACCTTTCAGAATTCTAAACCTTCTGGAAAACAAAACAAAAAGGCAGAGGCTAAAGTGCAAAATGTCCATGTTGATGAGTTCCAGGAATTAAGTGATGGAGAATGTTCTCAGAGGGCTGGGAAGCAGCGGAGGGATGAGATGGGGCTTGATTGTTCTTTAGGGCCAGAAGCTTGGTTTAGAATGAATCACCAACAGAAAAATATTTTACCTGGTAGGTAACGATGGGACTCTAATCCCAGCCATCCTTTCCTCCTTTGATTTTTTGCCATGACCTGGTGGTAGACCAGATGTCTACTGACCACTGAGGCAGGACTGCATTACTGCTGGGGGCAGCTGGAGAGGAGAGAACTCGGCACCATGGCCAAGCGAGGCTGCAGCTACTGGGCTGGAACAAGAGTGCGTAACTCAGGGACAAGCACACAGGGGCAAGAGTACACAGCTCAGCAGGCCAGTCCCCCCTGCTGAACAAAGAGCTCAAGGTCAGGCTGAGAGGTGGCAGTGACAGAAGACAGAGGTCGCCAGTGTCCCTGTCACTAGCTCAAGTGTTGCCCCATACCCCTCCCACTCTGGCTCCTACTGGAAACAAGCTATGTCATAAGATGAACAGTCATACAGAGCCACTCGGTCCTTTTTTTAAAAAAAAATGTGTAAAATATATGTAACATAATGTTTTTCATTTTAACCACTTGTAAGCATACCATTCAGTGACATTAGTTACATTCACAGTGATGTATGGCCATCACCACTATCTTTACCTAAAACTTCATCATCTGCAACATAAACTTTATACTCATTAGACAATGATTCCTTCCTCCCTCTTCCAGCTCCTAATAATTGCTATTCTATTTTCTGTTTCTATGAATTTGCTTATTCTAAGTACCTCTTTATAAGTGGAATTATATAATATTTGTCCTTCTGTGACTGGATTTATTTCACTCTGCATGCTATAGCATGTATCAAAATTTCATTCCTTTTATGGCTGAATAGCATTTCATTGAATATCTCATTTTGTTTATCCGTTCATCTGTTGATGGACACTTGGGTTGCTTATATCTTTTGGCTATTGTGAATAATGCTACGATGAAT